ACTCTCCCATTCCCCCCCCACGCCCCCGTTGAGAGATCCATCATTATTCCGGACCATTTGAGCGTGCGATTCATTCGAATACAACGCCTGCTGCTGCCTGCTGCTGCTGCTGCTGCTTTCGCTTCCCCACGACCAAACGACGATCAAACGCCCAAAGCAAACAAAATTTCTAGCGTTAATCGTCGCGAGTATTTTTTGTATTTGTATTACCCCTGGTTTCCTATGCGCCGCCCCACCTGCTCCACCCTCCACGCTTCCCGCTCTCAGCTACACGTTTCTTGTTCAATAAACAAATCATTTGATTTCAATCAGAGTTTCAGGTTTCTTTTCAACGTCTCTCCAACGTCGTGTATTATACTCTGTATAATATTTTTTATCACATTGTAGCAACTTCCGCATGTCTTCTAGTTCTATTTTTATTATTATTATTTTCGTTTTGTATTTACACAACTTATTAAGCTTCTCTTTATCATCTTTCTGGCCATAATTACTGTGCCATTACCGATTGCGGAGAAGTCGCCGACGCCGCCGCCGCAGTGTGTGGGCCAAAGTGCAAACAGAGGTGCGGAGCAGAGGAGTTGTCGAATGAAATTAAACCAAAAAATAAATAAATCTACTACCCGTCGTTCGTATCTCAATGTCGTGGCTCCCACGAGCTTTTTGTTTTTGTTTTTGAAACAAAACCAGAAAACGAGTAATTGTGAGATATCAGCGACTGGTTCACGACTCAGGGCATACCCTTTTTTCACGACTGAGAGCATACCCTTTGTTGGTTTGATTTGCTTTGATTTTTCAGCGATTGTTCAACAAATATTGCTGTTTCTTGTGATTTTCAAGCATTTCTTTCGCGACTTTTGGATGTTTTTTTTAACGTAGATTTGGTTCTCAATGACACTGAAATTCTTGTGGGGAGAACAGGCGCCCCCCGTTTGCTTGCTTTGCTTTGCACTGATTTTGTATGGTTTTCTTTAGCGAATTTGAGCGATTTTCAAAGGAGATTTTGTTCTACATGACACTAAAATACACGTGGCAGTACAGGAGAGGAGTATCCTTTTTAGTATACGCCTGGGTATACATATACCTCAGTTTTTATACATCGAAAACCGTCTAAAGATATTTTTCTTTGCATTGAAACCCGTCTGGAAATTTTCTGTCATTGTGTTTTGTGCTGCATTTCATCAGCAAATAAATTATTCATTTATTGAAATCTCTTGCCCCAAGAGATATGTACATATGTATGTATTTGTATGTACATTATATGTATGTATATATTCTCCGATTTCTGGGGGCCACGCCCACACACAACGAAACGCAATGGAATTCCGAATACAAATTCTGACAAATTCTTCTTGTGGGTAGAAGTTGCGCGGCCTTGACTTGAGCGCGTTTTGCCAGCAGCAAGCCAGCCAGCCAGCCAGTCAGCCAGCCAGCAGCTGGAATGCTAAAAAGCCAGTGGCGTAGGAACATACAGAAAGGAGGGACACAACACTGGCATCTGGCATCCTGCTGCTGCACTGCAGAACCCCCCAGAGTAGGAGAGAGAGAGAGAGGGGGAGAGAGATCCAGTTTGCCAACCGCTTGGGCCTGGCTGGCACTTGGGACTTGTGGCTGGTTTTTATCCGCCTTACATATGTAGGCCCCCCCCCTTCTCCGCTTGGCTAATCACCGACATCCGTCGTCGTAGTCTTAGTCGCCAGGTGCTGCTTCTGGGGGAGGTGACTGGGAGGCTGGGAGGTTGCGGAAAGGTGGTGCACTGGTGGGCCTGGGCCTGAACGTGCCCCCTCCCCAAAAAAAACTAGTTTTTCGCTTGGGTGTCATAAAAATACTTGTGCCAGTGGCTGTGGCTACGTCTACGGCTGTGGCTGTGGCTGTTTGTGCAGCAGCGATGTGCTCGTGCTCTCTGTCCGAATGATCCGCCACTGATCCGCTGAACATAGCGCCGCCCATGCCCATGCGATTGTTGTTGTTGTTGCAGATCGGAATTGGAATTGAAATTGGAAGCTCTGTATTTCCGCCGAACACTCGCGGAGACGTGAGATGTGGATTGGGAAACGAAGAGAGAATAGTTGTGGTTAAATATCAAGAGTGGAGAAGAGAGCCCCCAAACACAGAGAAGGGCAAGGCAATCATTATTCTTCCCTATATTGTCTGCAATCATTATTCTTCCCTATGTTGTCTGTCCTTGCTCACACATTTCATGCAGTATTTTTGCCATTGAGTTGCTCCTAACTTCTGAACTGAAGAAGGGAGTGAGTTCGATTAGATATAGGAGAAATATGACAGTTCCTGCTCCTCAATAAATCACCAAAGATTTTGCATATTTGATTCTTGCTACGAGTATATACCAGCGCTAAAACTTTAAATTAATTATATTTGCGCCTGGAGTCTCAGGATAATCAGGTTATAATTTCTAAATTTTGGGTATTTAAGCAATTTTCAAGATAGATTTTGATGCTGCAACGACACCGAAATGTGCGTGAGAGCCTTAATCTTGCAAATGCCCCACAGATGCTTCCTGGTACACTTGTTGTGTACAGATTTTCCCTAGATTTTGACCACTAATCAACTTTGCCAGCAATCACACACAATCCATACACTCTGGCAGAGTTTATGTCATACCAGTTGCCGGTCATGCGTAGCGTAGAGTAGGCCCTCCTCTGTCTCTCACAAATGCCACAGTTGCAATACCTTTATGTGAGATATGCTAGATTAATCCACTTAACCAACCGATTAAATCAATTTCCAAAAGCTCTCTCCGACATTTTTCAACCAGGAGTCGCCTCAGAGTCTGGGGGCGGCAGCCTCTGGGGTCTGGGATGGGATCTCTGTCTCTGGTACACACGACTGATTTCTTAATATTTTCCTTTGTTTTACGTCTTTTAAACTTTTTTCCATTTGTTGTTTTCTTTCATACTTGAATGCATTTCTAATCCGCTCATTCCCTTTTTGTATCTCCACTCTTCGATTGAATGGAAGGTAAAGTTAAGGTAGGAGGAAGGAGGAGGAGGTGGTGGTGGTGATGTTGGGGCCCTTAATTGCCTTGCGACGACTTTCATAAGAAAGTTACAAAATGTGTGGCAGAGAGACCTGTGAGGCATGGGGCATTGGGGCGTGGTGGTGTCTGGCAGAAGCGCTAATAAAAAAGAGGGAAAGAGTGAAAGAGGGAGGAGGAGGAGCCCCAGACATGGCATTATGCAAGCGAAAATCATTTTCCAAATTTACATAACACCCCAAAGATTCGAAAATAAAAAAATACTGAAAGACTGAAATATATTTTTCAATCCGAGTAGTAGCAGAGCCCCCATTTGGCAGTGGGGCAGCTATGCACTCAGAGAAAAATGGCATTTAAATTAAATAACTGCGAGCCTCAAATAAAAAACTTAGTTACATAAAGTAGAATTTAAATTCACTTTGATTTAAACATAAATGAACTCGAAATGTATTTTTGATACCTCTTTTAATATGAAATTATATTTCAATTAAATTAAAATTGATTAAATATAAATATGAAATTTATTTATTTTAAATATTAAATTTATTTACTTTAAAAAATTCCATATTATTACCACTTCCTTTTTACAATTTCCACTCTCAGATGAAATCTATTGGCATACATTTTGGAATCCTAAGTGTAAATATTAAAATTTCTGGGCTTTTTTTATTTGGGTGCGTGTTTTTTTTTTTTTGCTCTTTTTTGGGTTTGGTATTTCCTCTATTGTTGATTTGTTTGAGTACCGTACCGTACCGGACATACCATAAACTAAAACACGTTTCTTGACTCGTTCCTCCGCTTCTCCTACTTTTCTTTTTTTTTTACGAAAATGCAATGCGAATGAAAAACCTGTCTTCAGGGGGTCTCTCTCTTTCGTGGAGTCTCTTTTCGCTCTCTTCTTTTTTTAAGAGAGCAACTAGAGACCCCGAAATTATAGAATTTCAAAGACGTGTGAAACGTGATATTATTTTTGCATTGTACGAAATATTAGACGGCTTTTACGTGCGAGATTCTGCCAAAAAATAATGAATACTGAAATTGTTGGAATGAGACGATGAGTAAGTGATTTGCGATTGATGAATGGATGGATTGATGATTCATGGGAGAGTTCTCTCATTCTGTTTTCTCGTTCTGCATGTAGAAGTGGGTTGGTGGGGTGATTCGATTGGAGAGATGTTACCAGTATTCTGGCGCTAATTGCATACATCCGTACATGGCTTAATCCCTATTTTTGTTATTATTTGAATCGTATTTGATGCGTAAAATATGGGTAGAGGGTACTATGAGAGTTTCTTAATTGAATGAGTGTTTTACCTCGATATGGTGTGAAACAAAGAAGTTCAAACTATTCAAAAATGGCGAAAAGTTTGTCATTTTATTCAAATGGCAGGGAATGTATCCTTTCGGATACCTACAGCGTGGCGTGAATGTTTTGGCTAGTGGAAAACTTTTGAAAGACTTAATGTGTTTGTACGTCTTCCCAAAATAAGAGTTCTATTCAAAACGTTTCAAGTCTCTACATTCTGTTCGCTCTTTCATCGGCATATAATATGGAAACGCACTGTACTTTTGAATGCATTTAATGCATGAGAACACCCCCGCACAGAGACACAGAGAAAGACAGAGAGTTTACTCGTAAAAGCTAAAAAACCTTGGCGTTTCCCATACGTTTGTGTGCGCGTTTAATGCATTCCGAAAAAAAAGAACACTCACACACACAATGTAAACCGTGCGGAACGTGTTTATATGTCACTCTTTATTTCTCACTGCTGCTTCTGCTGCTGTCACTCGATCGATCTCTCACCTCAAATCCCTCCCACTCAGACACCAGACATTGTAGAGAGGCGGAGAGACATACGCGAGATGATCGAATGCTTCAATGCTACGGCGAGTATCTTTGGGATTGTTGTTTGTTTTTTGGCAACTGTAGAGCCTTATAATCCTACTGCCTCTGCCCTCTATTTGAAATCCTTGACTTATCTCTAACCGACACAATTTTTAATTCCAGTCCTTTGCCTCAAAGCATTCAGATGCCGAATCGCTGCTGTACAACATGAACATGAAGTACTATTACTATACGAGAACACGTGGACTCTTCCGCATTTGTTATCCGAAGGAACGGCCACCAGCATCAGCAGGTAAGTGGATCGAGAGGGACACACCTAAGATATCCATTTATTTAATTATTATTTGATTTGATTTGATTCATTCTAGTGCCCACATATCTGTCACCGATTGAGACACACTGCTCGAACATTGACTACTTTCCGCAGGCGGAGGATGAGAAAATTGCCAACGAGGATGCCACATCACGACTGCATTTGGCCCGCTCCTGCATTGCTCTGTTTATAATAAGTTTTGTGACTATTTTCTGTGCCTTTTGGACCGGTCTGTCGGGCTGCTGGAAACGCTCATCGGGCGCAATAACTGCCACATCGATATTGTTGCTGGTCACGTGCCTTTTGGCTGCCGGGGCCATGGGTCTCTGGCATACGGTGGAGTTCTTTGAGAAGGAAAAGGTCGTTGGCGAGGATTACTTTCAGCAGTGGAATACGGTATGTACACACATACCTCTAAGGGGAAACCCATGCCATGAAAATTCTCTAATCTCGATATCCCTCCTACGAGCAGGTTCTTCGCGATAATACAAAGATTGCCTACGATTGGTCGTACATTGTGGCCTGGGCTGGCATTGGGACATGCCTGCTGTCGGCCATTCTGCTGTCGGGTGCCGCCGTCTGTCTGCGCAACGAGCGCGAGAAGGAGGAGCAGCTGAATCTGCAATATCTGATGCCTGGTAAGGAAGAGTCTCTCACTCCACGGAGAGGTGTATGCCTAACTAATCCTCTTTCGATTGCAGTGTACTCGCAGAAGCAGCCACCGTATCCGCCGTATGCCAATTATGCACAGCCACAGATCTATCCGGGTCCCTACTACCATGGCTCGCAATATGGCCCCTACAACTATTAGGACTAGGGAGAGGTCCCAGAGGTAAAGAGAGCATCATCAGCAGAACTTAAGGAGCATCAGCAGACGAAGGATTCAACGAAACGAACGAAAGAGAGACAGAAAGCAGTACCCCTCCCACGTCTTCACACTGCAATATACATATATATATCACAAAAGGAAGACAAGGATATATCACAGATCATATATATATATATATATATTGTAGATAGAAATATGAGAAATCAGGTTCCAAATCCCCAGAGAGAAAGAGAAAATTTCAACAAAATTACAAACATTCTGAAAAAAATATATAAATATGTATTTTTTTTTTTTGTAGAGCTCTAGAGCTATATAGCATATATACCGATTTGGTGGGACTCGAGTCAAAAGGTTGCATCGAATTTTTTTTTTGGTGCGCAAAACTTTTGTGGCGCCCAAAGAATTTTTAGAGGAAACAAAACAAAAGAAAATAAAAGATAGAATGAAGGATTGAAATTTGCAAAGTAAAAGACAGACAACAAACAATAAAGAGTTAATTTATTGTAGCATGTAACGTACATGTGTAGCCTTATATTAATATTAATAATACTACTATAAACAAATGAAAAAACGAAAAACAAAACAAAATATGTATGTTATCGTAAGCTGAAAGAGTTTCCGTTTCATTCCCGCCCTGCCCCTGTCCCTGCCCTTACACCCAACCCTACCACCATTGTGTAATGTATATGAATGTGCGACAAGCTTCAAATTTGTCTTCCAAGTATAGTGCATATTGTATGTAGATCTGTACGTTTAATGAATAAAAGTTTTCTTACGTTAATCGGGATGGATTCTCTTTAATCTCTTTTTCGTTTTAAAGAAATTACCTGGGAGTAACCAAATAAAATAAATTAAATAAACAAACTGCGCAAAGTGTTACGAGGCAGGTCCTCTTCCGGGCTTCCGGGCTGTCTCTACGCTCTGGCTATATATAGACCGGCCGGCAATAAAATAATCTAAATTGATCAACATACCTAGGCGAGTAAGTGCATCCAAAGCACATTTTGGATAGTTTTCCACGTTCAGGTCTAGTTTCCCATGCGAGCCCTTCTCTGACGAAGACATTTCAATGCCATGCGGTTAGTTTTTAAAATATTCTTTTACAGTTAGCTTTGAAGTTTTTGTTCTCCCCTCTTTGGGTCACACGCCATGCAACTTGCAATCGAGGAAATATCATTCCCGGCCATGAACAAAGGACCAGAGGATAAATAAATATAAAGCCCACAAATATTATGAAACTTGAACAATTTTAGCGCAGTTCAGGTAAATAGGAAGGATAGAATGGATCTCCAAGTAGAATTAACAAACGTATAACTTTTCGCGGGTTAACTCTAACATGCTCGTAGAGGGGTTAAGTTCATTTTTTCCTCGGTATATTTACGGTATTTTTTTAACATGAGAAGGTATATTTCTGAGGGTCAAACTGGTATATTTTATTGATAAATACGCGGCCACACTGAACACCAGCGAATTGTTTATTTCTTAAAATAATTTTTTTTGTATGATGGCCAGCGAAAAGACCGAAAAGGCCAAGATCAATGCTCAGATCAAGCATGTCCCGAAAGATGCGCAGGTGATAATGTCCATACTGAAGGAGCTCAATATCCAGGAGTATGAGCCGCGCGTGGTAAACCAATTGCTGGAATTCACGTTCCGTAAGTGCCGCCAAAAAGTGCAAGTAACACGGAATACAATATAAATACTGATTTAAAAACATTTGTTGCAGGATATGTGACCTGCATATTGGACGATGCCAAGGTGTATGCGAATCATGCACGCAAGAAGACCATCGATCTGGAGGATGTCCGCCTCGCAACGGATATGGCGCTGGACAAGAGTTTCACCGGTCCACTGCCGCGTCATACCCTTTCGAAGGTGGCAGAGATACGCAATAGCATGCCGCTGCCACCGATTAAGCCGCACTGCGGCTTGCGTCTGCCCCCAGACCGTTACTGCCTGACCGGTGTCAACTACAAGCTGCGGGCCTCAAATCAAGCCAAGAAGATGCCCAAATCGGCACTGGAGGCGCGCGCACTAAAAACCATTGTAAAGCCCGTGGCCAGCGCCAATGGGCCGAAGCGTGCCCACTCCGTGGTGGCGAAACAGCAGGTGGTAACCATACCCAAGCCCGTTATCAAGTTCACAACCACAACGAAGAATGTGTCTGGAAATGCAGACACGAAGACGGACACCAGTGCCGGTGGCGACATGAAAATGGAGGTGGACAGCGATGCGGTGGCCGTGGGCAGCATTCCGAGCACCAGTGCCAGTGCACCCGGCGTCAGCTCGGCCGTAAAGCGCGAGCGCGAAGAGGAGGAGTTCGAATTTGCAGCGAACTGATTGAGCAGAAATACAAATTAATTATTAAAGTATATTTTCAACATCTTCCGTAGTGAAAAAAAAAACATTGTTTCGATTGTGTGGGGTTCATTTCAGGGCTAGAATGATGCAGCAGCCAAGATCCATAATCTGCAAGTACTCGGAGCCGCCATCCTGCAGACGAAAGCAGCATTCCTGCAATGAAGAGTAACCAAAGAATGAGCCATCGAGCCGAAACTCTCCAGACCAGACAAATACTTACGCCCAACTTCTCGCAGATCTTTGCCTTCTGCGGATCGGTGAGGTTCGTATGATGGACAATAAACTCCACCAATTGTTCCATCATCTGGCCGACACTGTACGCCGAATAGCCGATTTCGCGTACAAACTGCTCGAGACGCTCATAGTTCCCCGAGCGGCACACTTCCATGTAGTCCTCCAGATAGTAGTCCGGTATGACGCCAGACATTTCGAACAGATCGACGGTGTTGATGGTGTGCTCTGAGCCCCGGAGACGGAAGCATGACTGCAGTGTGGTTATGGCACGACGCAGATCGCCGCCGGATATCTTGACAATCGTTTTGTAAGCATCTGGATCGATTTTGACGCTCTCCAGCTCACAAATGTGCTGCAGCCGGGCAATGATCTTCTCCTCGCCGAGCGGCTTGAAGCGAAACTTGGAGCAGCGCGACGTAATGGGCACAATGATGCGCGTCACATAGTTGCAAATAAGGCAGAAGCGTGTGCTGCTGCTCTCCTTCTCCATGGTCCGTCGCAGGGCGGACTGAGCGGCATGCGTCATCGAGTCGGCCTCGTCCAGGATGATGATCTTGAATGGAGGCACTGGGCGGCCATCGGGACGCACATGGCTGGCCGATAGCTGGGAGAAGTTCTTGATTTTGGTGCGCACCACATTGATGCCACGCTCATCGGAGGCGTTCAGCTCGAGTATGCGATCCTTGTACATGTCGCCAAAGATCTGGCGGGCTGCTGCCAGGATGGTGCTCGTTTTGCCCGTGCCGGGTGGACCGTAGAGCAGCATATTGGGCAGATCAGCGCCCTCCACACACTTCCGGAGCACGGCCACCACCTCCGACTGCTCGACAACATCATCCACGCTTCGTGGGCGACTGAAATAAACAATAAATAAGCATTAAATCTGACTGCACCATACGATTCGATGGGACATACTATTTCTCCACCCATGGAGCCGGCGGCTTGCGACGCTCCACGGCACCGCCTTGGGCTTTGTCCGCGCTGCTGCTGCTTCCGCCAGACTTTCCAGTTTTCAAAAATGCCTGCATCTCAATGCAAATTTTGTTAAATTTTCAAATGTGCAAGCAACAAATCTACACAGACGCAAGTTTTGCCGCGTCGTGAGACGCCCATCGATAGTCCCGGCCCATCGATATGCTCCAATGCAATCGATTGCTGATTTTTTTTGTTGTCCCGCCGCCCCTGCATTTTGTGATTTTTTTGTTGTTTTGGATGCTTCTCGCCTCGTCTCGCTCGTATCACAATTGATAAAGAGCACCGAACATATATTCCAAAGGATAGAAATAGAACAGCGTCGTCAGCTGTGGAAACTGACATGCTAAGACGTGCCCCCAAGTGGTTATAGAGCGGGAAGAAACAAGCCGATTACGACTCGATTTGATTTTTGTTGTTCCCTTTTTTCTTCTTTTTGTCACACCATTTGACATCGTTGCCAAAACGCTGCCGCTGCTGTTGCTGCTGCCGCCGCGGGCCGCCGCTGCCGTGCCATTGTCGTTGTTATTATGTAAAATCCGTACGGAAGCAATACGTGGGACAACAAACAAAGGCATCGCATAAGCATCGCATCTCCTGGACGTCCAACACAGCAGCAGCTGCGTGAAAGTTGAACGGCCACCAGAGGCAGAGCAGGCCATCAACAGGTCACACCACCCTGAGAACGGGTGTTAATAAATAAATAGCCTTGAAAGAAAGACGAAATTTCCCATTGCCATTGCCATCCATCTGAGAGTTGTGTGAGTATTTGGACCTTCGGAGACTCGCATTTTGTTTGACTTTTGAGCTCCTTCAGTTACTCTTCCGCCGATTGAAGCCATGACTTCGGCCGCAGCCACAGACACAGCCCAAGCTCAAGCACAGCAACCCAGTGCGAGTGCGAGTGCCAGTGTCAGTGCCAGCGATGAATCCTCCACAGCTGCCGCTTCGGGCTCCTCCAGTGGACGGCATCAGTTGCGACCCGTGAAGTATGACTATGCCGATTCCTTTGCCTGCACCTACATTGTCTCTGTGGTGGCTGCCTCTGTGGCCGAGCTGGCCACATATCCCCTGGACCTAACCAAGACGCGGCTGCAGATACAAGGCGAGGCGGCAGCAGCCACCATTACCACCACCGGCAGCATCAGCAGCACTCCTGCTCCTTTAGGAGCCAAGGGCAATGTGAGTAAGAATCTTTTGGGTTCAACGTACATTCGTATCGTATATCTATGTACATATGTATATGCTTGCCTTTTGGTTGCTCTTGGTTTTGATGTGCTCTCTGTTTCTGTTTCTTTGTACATTGTGACTCTCTGTCTCTGTCTCTGCCTCTGGCTTTGGCTTTGGTGTATCCTTCCCTCCACTGTTGCGCCTTGCCTTGCCTCTAATCCTCACACACACACACACACACACATACATTTATTAACACTGCGGCTGCTTCTATCTACTGATTAATCGACTCTCCACTAAACTGTATCTGTAACTGAGATAAGATATTCCCTTTCCGCAAAAGTTCCCGCAAACGAAAGAACGAAAAAGCGTAGAACTTGGATAATCCATTTAATATAATTTTAGTTGTATGCCCTCCGGGGGGGTGTGGGGTGTATCCCTTTTCCTCCTCCCATTTGTATGTTTCATTCATTCCCCCCCACCCTACCTGTGCCCGTGCCCGTACCCTTGGCCTTGCCCAAGCCCCATTATATTCTTTGTACGTGTGTGTGCGTGTTTCAATGTACTTTGTATTTATGTATATACGGCCGATGAATATATATATACAAATACTACAGCAAAAATCTCTCTATATATGTATACAAAATCAAAAACCCAATCAATTACCAATCAATTTACCAACCAGATGCAATACCGCGGCATGGTGGCCACCGCCTTTGGCATTGCACGCGAGGAGGGCGCCCTCAAATTGTGGCAGGGCGTGACACCGGCGCTCTACAGACACGTCGTCTATAGGTGGGCAAACCAAAAAAAAAAAAAAAAAAAAAAAAAATACAAATAAATATAAAAACAAAAAGAGTTCTCATTGTATATCCACACATATCCACATTGCCTGTGGCATCCTCTGACTACTCTGCTAGCAGCAGCCAGCTCCCAGGCTCCAATTGCTTTGATTTAATCCGTATCCATTTCCATATCCGTATCCCTATCCTGCAGCGGTGTGCGCATCTGCAGCTACGATCTGATGCGCAAGGAGTTCACACAGAACGGCACCCAGGCCCTTGCCCATATGGAAATCGGCTTTATGTGGCGTCACAGCTGGTGCCGTGGCCCAATGGCTCGCCTCGCCCGCCGATCTAGTCAAGGTTCAGATCCAAATGGAGGGACGTCGCCGTCTGATGGGTGAACCGCCGCGCGTTCATAGCGCTGGTCATGCGTTCCGCAAAATTGTCCAACGTGGCGGCATCAAGGGCCTGTGGAAGGGCAGCATACCGAATGTACAGCGTGCCGCACTGGTTAATCTGGGTGATTTGACCACATACGATACGATCAAGCATCTGATTATGGATCGACTGCAGATGCCCGACTGTCACACCGTCCATGTGCTGGCGTCGGTGTGTGCGGGCTTTGTGGCGGCCATTATGGGCACACCAGCGGATGTGGTAAAGACGCGCATCATGAATCAGCCCACTGACAACAAGGGAAAGTAAGTAGCCAATGGAGCATGCGAGGAATCTTTTCCATTAAAGTGATCTTTAATGGGTTCTCTTTTTGTTTTGTTTTGTTTGCAGTGGTCTGCTGTATCGGGGATCTTTGGATTGTCTGCGACAAACGGTGGCCAAAGAGGGATTTCCAGCGTTGTATAAAGGGATTTCTGCCCTGCTGGATAAGAATGGCACCCTGGTCGCTTACCTTTTGGCTATCCTTTGAGCAGATACGCAAAATGATCGGAGCTTCTAGCTACTAAGGAAGGAAACACACACAATATAGTACATACAATACAATACATGATACATATACACATACACATACATATGTGTGCGTTTTTTAAATCTAGATGTACATACATACATTCAGACTACATATGTATCTGCTACGTTAAAACGTTCGTTCGTTCGTTTGTTTTTTTGTTCAATGCGCGACTCTAAAGGAAGAAACGTCAGCCCTGTCTGTCTGTTCCTCAAGTTTTCCCCTCGCGCGACAGAGAGTGAGAGAGGTAGAGGGTTTTTCCTAGCCAGCAGCTTTCCTTCCATCATCCCTTCCAGCCTTTTAAACTGTAAGCAATTCAAAACTTATTTCGTTTTCCTTTTATGTTATTGTTGTTTGGCCCCAAACGAATTATAAAACTTATACAAATAAAGAGAGAAAATTGTTATTTTGAAAGATATTCTTGGCCCCCCCAACAACTGTTCAGGCCAGGGACAACCGCCTCCCACCAATAAGGGGTAATATTAGATATAAAAGTGGATGTGTGTAACGAAGAAAGGAAACGTCGACCCCATCAAGATATGTTATTGTTCAGCATCAATAGCCGGGATAGGCCATGTCTGTCTGTCCGTCTGTCTGTCTTGTTAAGCGCCCATCCCAACTAGGGCAACCAAATAGGTTTCAGGTTTCCATTGCTCAAAAATGTATATACTGACTGAGTACGGGTATAAGTAAAGTCGCGTCCCCAGAAGCGTCTCGCACGTTCCTTCTCGTTTTGGTCTGAGATCTATGCTTTGACAGCCACAGACAGACGTACAAGCGAAAAGTGCCAAAGAGAATGCCTGAGAATCCGAAAAACAAAATACATGTCGTGTGCATAGGCGGGGCCTCTCCCTTTCCCCAACCAGCTGTTTCAGCCCACTCTGCTTGTGAAAGAGACAGCACTCTATTGTTGGTTTTTAGATCTGAATATTTTTTTTTGGTAAATCTCGTATCTCGTATCCAAGTTCCTGGTTCCAGTGGTGCCATCAAACAAACAGAAACAGTTACAGAAACAGAAAAAAAACGGTATACTTATATTAATTCTTAGGGACACACACATACATATATGTACACAGATGCATACAGGCTAAGTATATAATATATATATATATATATATATCTCATATATATCTAAAATTGCAATAACGTTTACATTTTAAAACACTGCATAATGGAAATGATGCACGCTACGACAGGGGTGCAACGTAGTGGTGTCTGGGTATACGACATCCGGATGTCCAGCCATCCGTCCGAACGTTGCAAAAAGCAAAATAGTTCCCTATAGTGTGTGTTTTCGGTGCAATGTGTGGTATGCTTATGGGGAATGAATGGGCATGAAGAGCGTGCCTTCTGTGCTCCGCCCCCCTACAATTGGTCTCTGTTTTGGTTGCTTTTTTTTTTTTTGTTTGGATCCTTAATCTGTGGTGTGTGCGAGTCGTGCGTGTGTGTGTGTGTGTGTGTGTGTGTGTCTGTGCTGCTTGACTAGACGCTGCGGAACGCTGAGGCAAAGAGCTATCATGTTAAGGCGCTGCTGCTGCTTGACTTATTCCAATCCCAGCACCCAATTGATGCCTAAAACTATAAAGAAGATGAGCGGCTGCCAGGCCACCAGCCAGCGGATCCAGTCCAGCAAACGGCCATACAATACATGCGGTTTCTCCCATCTGTACAAAACGAGAATATATTTCAGTTAGATAGATTCAGTTCGATGTGAGCAAGGATCGAAAGGATAAAGACTTTTTTTTGGCTTACGGATTGCGGAACATTTTCTGTAGATCAACTTTTTCCTTGCAGTAGGGACACGTCTGCTTCTTGCCGACAATACACCACCCCCGTATGCAGAACTCGTGGAATACATGATTGCAGGACAATTTGTATGTGTTCTCAATGACGCCCTCCTCCTTTTCGGAAACCAGCAACTGATTGCCGCACACGGCGCACACATTCTGCTCCAAGTGTCGCGTGGGTATACCCTGCGGGGCATAGTACTGTGGAGTACACAATCGAATTGAATTACACATGTGCAAAAGCTGAACAAACACACGCAACCAGAGATAGAGAGAGAGAGAGAGAGACAGGGGGAGAGAGTGAAGACTTACGCCAATGGCTGCTGCCATTTTGTCCGAGCATATTTCGGATATGTCGCGACCAAGCACACCAATATAGAGGCCATAGAAACAGAACATAAGGCCCACATCCATCCAGACATTGGGCAGCTGTGAGAACAGATAGTTCATGCCCATGAAGGCGGCCATGATCACGAGGTAGCCAACCAAGCCGAGGCCATAGCTTAGCTTGTAGATGAAGTAGAACCATTTGTAGACGAGTCTGCAACCGATTGGCATGGATATTGAATATATTAGGGGGCACTTGATTATGACCGGGAAGAGAATGACTCACCTGGGCGTTGTGCCTTGGATGGGCTTGCTTATCGCACGGCGCATAACCAGCGCCGTAATGATTGTGAATATCACCCAGATTACAATGAAACGTATCCAGCCAAAGAAGCATGAGATCGTAAAGGGTATAATCCACATGGCCAGCAGGGTGATGAGTGAATAGGAGCTATAGTGGCGCTTCTTCCACTCCACCAGTATGACCTGGGCAATCACCACGGTTACAAAGAGTATGATCACCATTTCCGAGTGCATTGCATCGTGGCCCCTGTGCTTTTCCACCATCAGCTGATGTTCGGCCCTGTAAAATCGAGCAATGGTTGGCGGCTACAGTTGGAGGACTTCTGCTTGAACTTCACAGAGACGGGGTAGGGTGGGCCTTTCACTTACCGCATGCGCTCCTCCGGCGTCATGTCGTCCAGGGACTGAAGGTATAAACATGAACATCATCATTAGGCTGCGATGGTGCTACATACATAGTCTGAAAGACCGAAAAGACCTCACCTTATTAAGGTCCACCGGGGCATGCAGATCCATGTGCTGTTGGTACATGTCGTTGTTGGTTCTGCTGTATCCTACCGCTCCAGGTCCTGACAATCTAAAGCGTCGCCTGCGTTTCAACACTATCTTGGCGATGTTTTTTTAATTCAATTTTCGGATATCTTGAAAGGAAAACAAATAATTTGATATTGTGTGTTTGTGTGCGTGTCCACCAGTCACGGCGTTGCCATTTCGTATGACGACGGGAAAAAAAATTGGCACATAAAATTCCTTGAATTGCAACAAAATAACAGAAACTTACTCAGACTTAATGGAAATGCTCTATTCTATGCTAATTACAGAGATTAATTTGATATATATTTTCTTTTTATGGGTTTTCTAATATATGCGGCGCTGCCACCTAGCAGAATCACTGCCGTTAGCCAGCACTGCCAGCGTTATTTGTTTATTTTTTGGAAATAGATTATTATTTTCGTAGCGGCGCATTAACGAAAGGAAGCCATGCAAGTAGAGCACTGGGGCGCCTTGCCCGAGGACGAGGAGGACCCCGAGGATCTATCCGACAAACTAGTGCCCATATATGCCAAGAAGCTCATGCTGGAGGAGATACGCCAGCGCGGTGAACTCGAACCGGAGGAGACTGAGTAATAAACGAATTCCATCAAAAGGAAATGAAAACCTTTTAATAATGGCTTGATTATCGTTTTGCAGGCATATTGTGGAGCTAAAGAGTTCCCTCGTCACGCAGACCATCGAGGTGATGAAGCAAACGGAGGTGCTGCAGTCCCTCATCGACACATACTCCAACAAAAACGTATGTACATATCTATCTGGGTCTATCCAGGATCCGCTCTGCCAGATTGAAGCATTTAAGATTGATTTCTTGGTTGCAGGGATCTTCCAATTACCTGCTCAATCCATGTCAAATGATACCTGAGGTGGACTTTCCGCCAGAAAACGCTGCCGACCTGGTCGGGGAGCAAAAGTTTCAGAAGCCCATCTGGTTCATACCCACCGTGGACACATCGTACTCGCGTGGCGATCCCCAGCACTATCCGGAGATCTCGATCAACACTTGTCGGCAGGCGTTGCGCAAGGTCATGTGTGGCATGCTGCGGCTTGCAGGCTTCACCGACTGCTCGGAGTCGGCCATACAGCTGCTGACCGATGCCAGCGAGGAGTTCCTGCGCAGCTTTATCTGTGAGTATCGCGCCTGCTACGATGTCGATCCGAAGACACGGAAATCGACGTCGCTGCAGCTGCTGCCGCTCGAGCGGGCGCACACAGCGCTGACGGGGACATCGCTCACGCAGGTGCACAACTACTACAAGCACAAGGTGATCACGCGGAATCGCGTCGAGATCGGGGAGTTCAACAGTGTCCTGCAGGACTACGACCAGCTAATGAAGGAGAGCCAGAGCAGCATGCAGCGCCAGCAGGAGTTCAATAGCAACGACTTCCTCAACATACTCGACAACAGCACCACGGGCAGCAATCAGAGCATGGGCAACATTGTTGGCGACATGATGCAGGATCTCGGGGGCTCAAGCAGCGGCGGCCTCTCCACCATGACCATTGGCAATGTCTCCCAGCAGCAGATGCTGTACGGCCTCCTCGACTGCCAAGTCTCTACCTCATCCTCCACTGTGCCCAGCTCCAGCAGCCTGGGCACAGGGAATGCCAGCAATGGCAACGGCAGCACTGGCAATGGCAGCAGCAGCAGTGCCGGCTTCCAAACGAACTTCGATTCGTAGTTAACAATCAAAGAAAACAATCAGAATACAAACTTTTCTCACTTATCTACTACTATTAAGCATCGAATCGCTTTTATTTCTTCTTCTTTTTCCGGCATATCTTTGACTCGTTCCACTTGTTCTGGAGCCTGCGCTCCGTGAATTCGTTGACTGGATGGAGGGCCTGCAGCTTGTGGCACTGCGTATCGGTGGCCTTGTACTCGAAGAGCTTACCCTGGCGTGGCTTGCTCTTGGCCCATTCCAGGGTGTCTTTGCCCTCCATAATCGACTCGCCACTAATGGCCACTGCAGCCAGGGCCACAGTCTTTGCGGCTGTCGAGGATTTGTCCTCGCTCATGGTGCGTCTCTTGATGGTGGGCTTCTTCTTCGGTCCCGGCGGTTCTGTATCCACATTTACGGCGCTCAAGTAGCAGTCGGCATTGGACACGAGCCTCACCTGGTCGTGGCAGGACTCCTCTTCCTCTTTTTGTAGTTTATCAGCGGATTTCTGTTCACAGAACTCGATTTGATCTTGGATAATAGAGCTAAGTTTTCCCCATATGTGGGTTTGCATTTCTTCGGTGATATGTAGATCGCTGGCTGTGCCAGCACCAGCTCCCTGCTCGTCCAAGTGGCGTTCGCTTTTGGGCGGAGGCGGCCCCTGGATTGCGGTTGCCTGCGCCGGCTTTGGGTCTGTTGCGGTTGCTCCCCGCTGGAACATGGCATTTGTGAGCAGTGTGTGATCGGCGGCTTCCATGAATTGACGCATTTGTGCGTCATCGTCGTCGGAGTCGCTATCAGCGTCATTAGTTGCCGCTTTGGTTTGCTGTTTAACGAGCATTTTGTAAAAAAGTCTAATTATTGTCCGTTTGTTGACATTTCCCGCTTGATTACAGTTATAACTAGCACATGTGCGCAGACTGCTGGTATTTTGCAGCACTGGTCAGTAATGGGAAGAACATTTAACAAGCAAAACACGATGATAAAGATAAGATCAGATCAGCTTCAAGCAATTGGGAAAAATTAGCTAAAAGAGTGGTGCGGAGCGCTAGTTGTGAACATTTCATTTGGTTGGAAACCAATCAAACGTTGTTCAATACCGCCCAATAGCCCGCTCAAAAGTGAATAATTTGAAATGCCATCCTTAGAATACTATTTTATTATGCATACAGTGCACGCACACTGGGCGACTGGGTTCGGTGCTGGCTACTGTCAATCGATCATGAAACGGAGCTGCACAGGCCACAATTGCTGACGGGACACATCTTCATCTCGACATCCTCGCCGACCCGCACAACGGCCGCCATACCGTTCTCCGAGTGCGGCGAAATGTGACAGTGGAACATCCAATAGCCTGGACTGTCGCTGTAGAAGCGTATAATCGTATAGCCAAAGGCTGGCACCTGCACCGAATCCTTCAGCGGTGCACTGCGTCCCCGGCGTGGCAATGGCGTGCGTCGATCGATCTCCTGGATCTGGCCAATCTTCGACTCGCCCAGCACGCCCATGCCCACCACCCGGAACGTGTAGCCGTGCAGGTGGACGGGATGTGGCGTGTTCGACTTGCTGGATATGACAAACTCCACATTCTTGTTGGCCGGCACATGGATGACATTCGAGCACTGGCAGTGGCGCTGCTTGCAGTTGAAGCCCATGTCCGTCTGCTGGGAGCTGTTGCAGAAGTACTGTCCGATGCCCAGGTTGCGGGTCTGCAGCAGCGACATCTTCGGCATGCTGAAGCTGATGTCGTCCATTTGGAAGCGGAATCCCTCGCCGTTTATCTGGAAGGCGTTCATGCTGGTGTAGAATGTCGCTGCCGGCTGCATCACCGGCTCCGCACGCTGTGCGTTGAGGGTGGCCAGCGATATGCTCTGGGCACTGTTGCCGCCTGTGTCGTCGCCCAGCTCGTTCAGCATAATGCCGGGGGCATCGTACGCATAGCTCAGGGTGTGCGTGTCCAAGGCCTTGGGATCGGCGTCTTGATAATGGAGCAACGCCTCCTGATGCAGCTGGTTTTTGGCACAGAAGCTGTAGCCCTTGACGCGGATCCAGTAGTTGGCCACCTCCTGATTGGCGTGCAGCACAAAATCGAATCTCTCCGCGCCATGGAACATGATCTTCTGCACCTCAACGGGCTCAATGTCATTCCCATCGCTGGCAATCACCACCAGATCATGGCTGTCGATGCTCAGGCTGATCGGACAGTTGGACACCCCATTGAAGATGACACGAAAGCGATAGCGTCCGCCCCGTATCACCGGAAAGTGGGCATACAGCGTGGGCTTCACCTTGCTGCCCTTTTTCATGTTGCGGCCCCGGCCATTGATCAGAATATTCTCGGCCACACTCTCCACAAAGTTGTGCACCCAGTCCTGGATCATGATCACGTGCTCCGTCTGATCAAAGTCGTACAGATGGGCATGGGGATTTAGCTTCGCTGGATGGCGCACAATCAGTGGCCCTGCCAGCCCGAAGGCGCGCTGATGCTCGGTGTGGCTGTGCCACCAATTGGTGCCGCCATGATCCACCTGAAAGCGGTAGCGGAATGCTTGGCCCGCCTCAATCGGATACTGGGTGACGTGCGGCACACCGTCCATGAATGGGGTGAGCCGCTGGTGCATGCCATGCCAGTGTATGGTGGTCGTCTCGTGCATGCTGTTGATCACATCCGCCACTATGGTGTCCCCGTAGCAGACCTCGATGGACTGGCCGGGCAGGCGGCCGTTCACCACCATCACCCTGGACTCCAGACCGTCGGCGTACTTGCAGTCATCGTTGGCGGCCACCTTGAAGCTGTCAATGTACTCCCTGCCATTGGCCAATTTGAAACGATATTTGGTCTGTGGATAAACCGGCGATTGATTGAATACAATTAATTTCCGAAGGGGCATGTGAATCCTACCTGAAGCAGTCGCTTGCAGGTCGCCGACATGGTGTCGTCGTAGTGGACCACCAGATAGTAGTAGCATGTCATTGGCTGCTGATCCACGCACTCCCGCTTGCAGGGATGCAGCATGTCCTTGCCGGCGGACCGCCACTGCGAGGATTCGCTGCCGGTTGCCAGCTGTGGATACATCTGCATGATGCGCTCATAATTGCTGACGATGCGCTTGCCGCTGGCATCTGTAATGTAAGGATCGAGGAGCATCAAGTTAGCACTTCACACATTTCACTTGAGATGCAATCCATCCATCCATCACCTTGTATGCCATAGATTTGCACAAATATAACACAACAAATTGCAACGAATTTTTGCACCAAATTGAATCTCATTCTCGCAACGAATGTAACCGAAAGAAGGGCCAATCAATGTATGGAATAGTTTGGGAATGGGAATGCGAATGCGAATGCGAATGCCGCTTAATGGATGTAAACGCTCATTTGTGGCTGTGGCAGAATGCCGAACGTAACTGTTAATGAGTTTCCGCCATCGGTTACCTTTTGTAAGGCGCGAAGAACACAACTGCTTCTTACCCCCGGTAATTATTCCAGAGTCAGACAGCAGACAGAAGCGACAGCCAGACAAAGATTGCGCGGAATCGGAATCTGGTGTCCGCTTGTCGAACAAGTCGTAACAGTTAATTGAAGATTGTTCGCAACTGGTAGGAGGTAGATTCGCGCAGAGATATAAGACATACTTCTGAGGTGCGCGCCTTCTGCTGACGCTCAAAGAAAAGAAAGATGAAAGATCTCGAATTTGCTGGTGCTGCTGATTCCTGGATAGCGCGGAAATACCCAGTGTATCTTGGCCTACATTCTGATGTTCGCAAAACTCTATCTGACCTTGCCGGGGAAATCAATCAGCAGCAATCAAAAATTCATTAGCTCTGACTCGTTTTACATTTCAAATTTGTAATTTGAATACCGCCAGTGTTGGCCAACGGCGCCTGATGAGCTGCCGACAGTGGCGTTCAACTGACAAACTGCATTCGAACTTCGAAGACCTTTGTTTTTTTCAAAGAGAGACGAGACCAAGTACGAGTAGCATCCGCTATCAGGCACAGCACACTTTGCTACCCCTCTGCCGCTTGCATGTACATAAGTAGTATAGTACGAGGTACACACATTTATCTTCTGATAGGAGACGCTGAAAAACAACCAACGGGAATATTGCCAGCGTAGATTACACATTTTAATTTCTTCTCTTGACGCTGTGCTAATCAAAATGGAATGCCCACCAGCCGAGCCTCAAGAGTAGTCTCACCCCCCACCGCCTGTTTGGAATTTATTGGTACTGTATTTTGAATTTTGTTTTCGATTTCGTTTACTTTTATCGCAAAAGCAACACTGCCTGTGTGTGTGTGCGTGTGTGATCGCGGGGGCCACAACAAGGCGAAGGAGAGTCAACGACGTTGATTATGCAGAAAACAAGCAGCTAAAGAGTGCAACAAAACATACTCGCATAGCGGTAAATACTTATATGTACATGCAGTACATACCGTACATACGTATGTAGGAGTAACGTACATACCGCCGCACTGTGAAACAAGTTTCAACGCCGCAACGCAAAATAGCTTTCAACAGGCGCTGGCGGTGCGCCATGAAGTTCATTAGCCATTTCGTACGGGAGTCGAGCAGACGCATTCCTCCAATCATCCACAGAATCCAGAATCCGGTCCACACAATCCACACACAGGTAAGGTTTCAGCCACAGGTGGAATGGCAACCCTATGACACCGATAACGGCTCTAAGTGTTAATGTTGTTGTTCTCTTTTATGATTGGGAAATTTCACAACATTTTTTTGGATTGACTTCTTCCACACAGAGCAACGCCGTCGCCGCCGCCGCCACCAGCACCATGGACACGTCAGTACATTCAGCGGGTATATCAGAGATCCACCATGTACCAATGAGTGTGATCCAGCGTCCCATACCCTCCATATTGGATGAGCAGAAAGTGGTCTCGCTAATGGACACTATCAAGGTGCGTGGCAGCACTGATCCCCACACTAAACAGGCCTACACATCTCTCTTTCTCTTCTCCCTCAGGGCGAGACCAGCGAGGAGGAGGTGCCACCAATCGACTTGCTGTGGATAACGGGTAGTGAAGGCGGCAACTATTACTTCAGCTTTGGCGGCTGCCACCGGTACGAGGCGTACAAGCGCCTGCAGCGCGAAACCATAAAAGCCAAACTGGTGCGCTCCACACTGGGCGATCTCTACCACTACATGGGCTCCAGTGCGCCAGTATATTTGGCCTGATTCGGCTTGTGGCTTCCACACACATATTCCCTTCATCCCTGTGCAATGTTTTCCAATGTTTTCGATTGTAAATGCATTTTTCTGTTTTTGTTATTATCTATGCATGTTATTTTTTGATAAGCAGCGTGTTTTAATTATCCGAGGAAAGCATCTGCCGACAGCTATCTTCGGCACTCCGCCAAGGTTGGAGTACGTTCCCCTGTTGTGTCTCTTCCCACCGAAGGGGATCGTTCTACGCTGTTCTTATTTCTGTTTTCTGTGTGTTTTTTGTGACGCTATATTGTTTATTGTGCTTTGGTTGGCATCTTTATTTGTACTACTACACTCTTACTTAATTTGACTTACTGAATGATAATGGTATGGTCCTTAACATATTCGAAATGCCATGCAGTGGTGCGGCAGGAGATAATCACCAGAGGAAGGGCGACCGCTCTCGTAGTAGGCGGAGACCATGGCGATTCCAGTCCACCTGCGTTATCCACAGCTCCCTGGCACTCTCCAGCACTGACATGATGGCAGCACCCTTCCAGGCCACCATTCCCGCATCCATGCCCTTGGTGAACACATTCACCTCGATGCCGGGCTGCACCTGCTGGCTGACGCAGCTCTGCAGCCAGGCGGCCAGGCCGGGTATCTTTACGCTGCTGCCCACGAGCAGAATGGAGCCGTACATCTTGCGCTTCGTCTCGTTGGTGGCGCAACGTCCAATGGCCTCGAGGACGGCCTGATCCAGTGGCATCACCTGCCCCTGACCGTACTGATACACTCCATTCGCAGCGTCAGCGAAATGCTTTTGGGTATGCCCGATGCTGTGGCTGTTGGTGCTGCTACTGTGGCCGGCGATGCCGTTCGACGACGGCTCATCCTGATCGACCACATTCAACTCCTCGTCATCGGCTGTGATGGGCGGCAGGGGGCGTGACTGGGTAAGATGCGGTACAACGATGGAATCAGCGGCACGTGCGCCATTCTTTCGGCCCGTCTCCCGCAGATACTCGGCATCGAAGCAATCCTCACAGTCGTACTGTTCCTGGGGCGGCTGCTGTGTGAAAGCCTTTCTCGCCTTGCCCGTGATATTCAGCAGCTCGGTGTGGAAGAAGGCCAGGGGGGCCATTATGGCCTCGTCGCCCACCTGCAGGGTGTAGCGCAGCCACTGGCCATTCTGTTTCCTCAGATGGAACTGCTTCTCCTGGGCCCCACACACTTTGGCATTGAGATGACAGAAACGCTCCTTCAGCTTGTCCATCAGGCGGGCATCCACATAGCTGTCCTGGACACTGCACTCGCGATAGGGGAAGCCGCACTTGCGCAAAAGCATGAGCAGCACCTGGTTAATGTCACCGCCGCCATACTGCAGCCGTACACGGGAATTCAGCTGGGAAATGCCATCCTCGATGCAGGCAATCGATGTCTTTTGGGCGCCAATATCCACCACACAGCCGAAGCCAATGCCCGCCCCATAGGTGGAGGCGACACTGTCCTGCACCAGGAAGCAACGCTGGAATCCGAGACGCTGCAGCAGCAGGCTCATAAACTCACGCAAATGCCGCCGCACATAGACATCGTTGACCACCAGAACGGCCGAGTGGGTGCGAAGATCGCGCAAATTAATCTTCAGTCGTGCCTCCAGAGCATACGACCAAATCCGCTCAATGTGCTGCAACGTACACTATAAGAAAGGCAAATCGTTGACTCCTGAATGTGCTGGCCAAAGGCTTACTCTGGGCTTACCTGCAGGGAGCCACCTTTCTGCTTGTGGACATTGAGTTCTCCCCGCTGGATGGGAAAGTGGATGTCGTAGTCGCGGGCATCGAAGGTGCTTAGCCTCAGGATCTGTTCATCGAACAGCACCGGTGCGCCACGGTCCAGCCACTGCCTGTTCCGCTCTTCGCTTAGATTGCCAGGCGGCGGTATCTTCTCGGCAACACTCTTGCGATTGAAGTGGGCCAGCTGCTGGGGAGGCGTGGCCACGCGCAGCCGCTGCTTGTCGTCGATCACACAGTTCTGAAGTATGCGCGACGCGATGAGCCGCTGCTCCTCGAACTCCACCTGCAGTTGTGCGGGATTTATGTTGTCCAGCGACGGCAGCATCGGGTCGTGATAGGGCCAGTCACCCTCCTGGTGCTTCCGCTTGTAGGCGACCGCATGGAGCAGAGTCAGCGGATTCAGGTCACAAGCTCGGCCAATTCGCAAGTGCTGCGACCCCGGATGTATCACAATTATTTTGGGTGCATCCAGTGGCTGGACCTGTTGCGACGCTTGCAAGCGGCCGCTGCTGGTGCTGCTGGCACGCGACCGTCTGCAAATGAGTTTGTTCATTACCTGATTAACTAAAGGTGCCAAGGCAATCGTGTACTTACTGCATAATTGGTACTTATTTGGTTGGGAGAGGGTAGGTGACGGCTGCCGCAGCCTGAAGAAGAAATTTCTTACGGTTTTCGGCATCGCGATGGCTGCGATAGCGATGGCATGTACTCGATACACACGAGTAGTATCAGCGTGCGTTCCGTGCGCTCCTCTGTGCAATCGATAGCTGCCGGCGAAACTGTCAACATATCGGAGACAGTCAACTTTCAGCGGCATTTCAATTCCTTTTCTTTTATTTTCTCTTTTTTTCGACCAGCTGTATTGGAATGGGTGATCTTTTATTGAATTTAGGCTTCAAATACACCCAAATAGCGGAATTCGTAAGAGCACTACACGCACGTAATGTTCCCATGGACGCGGAGGAACAAGATGAATATGAAAATCAACTGCGTGACATTGTGGGCTTCGCTGTTAACGATTTTATTTTTTCTTATAATCATATCATCATCAAACTATCGAACAATAAGCGAATCATTATCGATGGATTGGTATCGATACTATCGATATATACAATTTCACACAAAAAGGAAAAGAAAAGAACGTGGTGACTGCCGTTTGTATCAAATTTATTCCAGACACATACAAAGAGATCCAGACGTTTCTGTTGTGAAATTAGAAGTAAACGATTTAGAGACAGCTCCATCTGATTCCCGTGCCTGTGTGCATTGCATCCGAAAATGTCGCAGTTCACATGCCTTAATTGCGATGCGCGTTTCGCCACCGCTGAGGTGCAGCGCGAGCACTACAAAACAGATTGGCACCGCTACAACCTGAAGCGGCGCGTGGCCCAATTGCCTCCGGTGACGGCGGAGGAGTTCCAGCAACGCGTGCTGAGTGCACGCAGTGCCACCGAGATGGCCCTGGAGGAGCAGAAAATGAGCACTTACTGCAACGCCTGCCGCAAGCAGTTTGGCAGCCAGAAGGCCCACGACAACCACCTGAACAGCAAGAAGCACAAGGAGTGCCTGGTGAGGTTCGAGCAGCAACAGATGTCGGCCAGTGCCGGCAGCAGCAGCACAGTTTCGGCCTCTGTCTGCACCAGGAGCGTGGTGGAGCCGCGCCCCCATCCTGCTCTGGCCGCCGCCGCTGCGGGCAAGGGCCGTCTGGCGTTCGCCGAGCGCGCCAAGCAAGTTGATGGCGAGGATGACGAAGAAGTCGACGAGGATGACTTTGAGGATATCGATGAGGAGGAGGTAGGGCTTTCTCTTGAGGCGGCTAGCGACCATAACATTCATGCATGTCTCTCTCTCTCTTCTACAGGTGGACTCTGATGAGTGGGACAAGATCCCCGAGAATCCGTTGACAGAGCGCGATTGTCTCTTCTGCAAACAGAGCAGCGAGGATATAGTGGAGAACTTGAAACACATGTCCGTGGCCCATTCCTTCTTCATACCCGACACTGAATTCTGCACCGATCTGGAGGGTCTGCTCTACTATTTGGGCGAGAAGGTGGCCAATTATTTTGTCTGCTTGTGGTGCAACGATCGCGGTAAGACCTTCTACTCTTTGGACTCTGTTCGAAAGCATATGGTCGACAAGGGCCACTGCCAGATGCTGCACGAGGGCGTGGCTCTGGCCGAATACGCAGATTACTATGATTACAGCGAGAGTTATCCAGATAACGTGAGTACATTCTGCGTTTTCCTGCTTCCAGTGTTCAATGTTCTCTGCCCTTGCCCCAAAAATACAGAAAGACGGCATGGACATTGACGAGGAGGTGGTGCCCGATCTGCTCGATGGTGATGAGTACCAGCTGGTGCTGCCTTCGGGCGCTGTCATTGGCCATCGATCCCTGTTGCGCTACTATAAGCAGCGCCTCCATCCAGAGCGTGGCATTGTCCTAAAGAAGTCCGACCGCAAGCTGCACCATGTGCTCAGCGAGTACCGGGCCCTCGGCTGGACCCAGACACAGCAGAAGGCAGCGGCCAGCAAGGCGCGCGACATTCATCTCATGAAGCGTGTCCAGTCCAAGTGGCAGATGAAGCTCGGCACAAAGGCCAACAAGCTGCAGAAGCACTATCGTGCCCAGATCCTCATCTAAGCCAGCGACTGGAGTCAGTGCCCCACAAAGTCTTATTCCCTTTGCAAAAGAAATATCGATGATCGTTGGGTGTTTTTTTTTTTTTGCTTAAATTAAGCATACGTTTTTCTTTTGTATATTACTAGCGATTTCTCTTCAAAATAAAATTACATAATTTAAATTAACAATTAAATATAGTTTAATTTTGATTCGTTTATAGTTAATGTTATGTCGTTATGGTTACAATTAAAAATTTAATTTAAGCATTAAAATTAGACCAAAAAAAAAAAATAATGGGTTCTAAAACTGCATTTCCAGGGATTCCCACACAGTTTGGATCCCATGTGAGCGTGTTCGTGAGCGAGACGACTGCTGTGGGCGTTATGAGAGCGCGTGTGTGTGTTTGGGTGTGAAGTGACTAAACCATATTTGAGTGTGTGGGTGTGGGTGGGTGTGAGGGTCAATTTCAGCTAGATTTTATATAAATATATATTTATGTATATATTTGTATGCATAGGTGTGTGTGTAGTTGGATTTCTCCCACGAGTACTGGAGTAACTGTGCTTTGTGGATATAGGGATATAGGTTATGTTCTTATACATACTCCACACAGCACAATCGTTTTTCTACACGGACAACAGCTGTGCGCGTGCGAGTGTGTGTGTTTTGTGATAATGGTCTTGGATGATTGGCTGCAATAAATAGCGGTATTTCTGGGGCAGCGGGACAGAGAGCGCTCCACGCCACGACAGAACGGTGGTGCACAAAAAAATTGTATTACATATTAATAGGCGATAAGGGATAACGCTTTAGGCTAATGTATAACTACAGGATTCTGTTGAACACATACGCCCACCATTGGCGATGAGGAAGAGGCATCGCTGCTGGCGCCTGTCGTCGAGCCACTGCTGTTCCCGGGTGCACCCGCAACCCCTCCCGCACCGACAGACCCAACGACCACATGTCGTCGCTGGCCAGCGGATTGCATTGGCAGTGGCAGTGGCATTGGCGGCAGCGGCAGGGGCATAAAGGCGGACACGGGCATGGGTACCGCGGTGCCGGCAGTGGCTCCCACCGATGCCGGCCCGGCTGGCCCGCCAGCCGCCGACGCACTAATCACACTGGAGTCGGTCATCATTAGGTGTGAGGCGGCCGCGGCGGCAGCAGCAGCAGCAGCTGCGGCCGCGGCCGCTGACATATTCCCGTAGTAGGGCAAGGATGTTGGCGCATAGTTGTTCGGCATCTGGAGCAAGGCCGGCACACGCATGCGTCCGTTGGGCGGTGGGGGCGGCATCACCTGGCCATGCGGCGGATCGCAGTCCATCGGATGCGGATAGCTGTTGCCGTACATGTGACGGCGACTGTTGCCGCCGCCACTGTTACTGTGACTGTTGCTGTTAATGTGGTTTAGGCTATTCAGACTGTTACTGTGACTGCTGTTGTTGCTGTTACTGTTGCTGTGGATGCTGCTGCTGTTGCTGCTGTGGTGGCTGTTGTGAACACCCAGCGCGGGCGGATGGGCGGCGGGCTGCAGACTGAGAGCAGAGAAGTTGTTCATAGCGCTGGCCGCGGCATTCGAGTGCATGAGTGCATGCAGACCTGTGAAGTAGAATGTCAAGAAGACAACTATTAGCGTCATTGTGTTTACATATTAACAGAGTAATTAACAATGGCCATGTAAAGCTCCCACAGAGGCGGAACACAACGGTAAATGGGGAGCTAAACATTTGGATACCCTTTCTCAAAGATGCATTCGTTTTTTTTTTTTTGTTGATTATATCATAAGTTTTTATTGAAGGTTTTTTTTCGCTTTTTTTTTTTTTGTAATTTCCTTTTGTTTTTTAAATTTTTATTATTTTTTTGTCTGCTTTAGTTTTTTTTATGAATTCCTTTTCCATACGGTTTTCTTTTTTTGGTAAAGTTTCCGTTTTGGTTTTCATTAATCATTAATAAATTACTTCGTACACGTTAAACTTAAACCATCCGCTGCGGTCTTTTTTATATTATATAAATGCCATACATGCTTATGCATGCAACTGTGTGTGTGTAAGTGTGTGTGTCGGTGTCTCGTCATCCTGATGTATTTTGTCGTTTAATTTTGTTTCTATTTAAATTTTATGTTGCAATACTGTGTCGTTGAACATTCGCCTGTTCCGGTTCTTCGTCAAACAAATGCATCATGGGGTTACTCCCTTCTTCTGTTGCTGTTATTGCACTGTACTATTTTACTATGTCCAAAATGTAAAGTTAACATGTATTCTCTTCCGTCAAATTGTGTGATGGTCTCTGTTAAGCACTGACTGAACGGGACAGGATCATTCTGTAGCACTTGAAGCTTCAAGGCTGCTGCTACTGCTTTTGCTTCGTTTAGCCAGTGCCTAACTGTTCAATCCATCTGTCTCGCTCTTTCACTCGCAATTTGCACGGTTTCTTCTTTTCGTCTATGTCCAAGTGGGTGGCTGTGTGTGTGTGTCTGTGTATTTTTGTATCTGTAAAGTTATCGACTTGTAAACACTCTTTCCATCCGGTTGCTGTCTTTCTTTATCGTTTGTTTGTGTTTTTTTTTTTTAGTATTTTACATAAGATTCGTTTAATTATTTCTCTCTGGTTCGTATTTAAATTCTTGAATTGGGTTCTCTCGGGGGCTAACCACTAAATTGTTAATTAATATTTACGGTTTATATGTATTTTTTTCGTATCCTCACATTCTTCGTATGTATGCGATCGTTTTGTCTCTCCGTCTGTCCTGTGACTGTCTGTCTGAATGTGTTTACAAATTAATTGAGTTGTGGGTCGTTTTTTGTTTTTTGTTTTTTTTTTGGGTCTTTGCTTCGTTTCATTTTCGGTAATTATTCGCATAATTATTCATAAATGTTATATATATAGATTTATGTATGTTAAATTTTATTAAATGCTAAAGTTCTTCCTTTTAGTACGTACTGATTTTTAATTTGTTATACGTTTTTATTTTCGCTTTGCATTCTTTTCCTTTCTTTTATTTTGTGAGTGTGTGTTATTTTTTGTCTGTACTTTTCTTCGTTCTTGTGTGTTGTTTACTAAACGCATTCATTCTCTCTGTTATTTATGTTCTTCAGTTAATTTTGCTTCGTTTTTTGGTTTGCTGTTTTTACATGCCTACGTTTTGCCTCGTTTCGATTCTCCCCTTTATTTTTATTTTTTGCTCTCTTTTTACAAACTATGATTTGTGTTTGGTTTTCAACTCGTATTTTGCATATACTATATATTCCGAATTATCTTTATTTTATTCCGCCCTCTCAATAAAAACTTGTATGTATATATGTATTTATATATACCATATGCATATATTTACCGTTGAGAGAGTGTAGGAGGTGTGTGTGTTTGTATGTGTGTCAATGTGTATGTGTGATCATGCAGGAGAAAGATGCCAACATTTGGAGGCTCTGTTAAACATACTACTCGTAACATAACAGTCTCTGACGTCCGTCTGTTCGTTACCATTGCTTTGCGTTAAGAGGGGGGGGAGGGCAGTGTATGTGGGGGTCGAATGTGCGCTTTTCGGTTGCGTTTCGTTATCACAAATAAGAGCGGCCTTTGTTAAGACCAGCTGCAATGTATGCTATAGCTTGTTCGCTCCCTTACTCACTCGATCGGATAGCGCTCTTCTCTATTGACCGTTAAGTTCAAGCCTCTAACGATAAAGAGACACAGAGAGAGGATGAGATCGAGAGCGAACAGTGTTGCCATCTGTTTTGAGTTCTCAGTCTAAGAAAGGATGTGTGTGTGTGCGTGTGTGTTTGCGTGTTAGTGAGAGGACAACAAAGGTAAGGGCGTGTGTGAATGAGTGGCAAGTGTGTGTGTGTGTGTTTGTGAATAGTAGGACAACAGAGGTTAGGTAGAGTGCTCGTCTGTGGTCTGTGTTGTGTCTGGTGTTTGCAGTATTTTACAAACTGATGATCCATCAGCATTCTGGCATATATATGTATGTATATGTTTTCATGTATAAGAAGTATGTATATATGTATGTATGAATGCTGCTGCTGTTGCGTATGTATATTATGTTCTTGCATATGTATAAACCGTTCCTGCTTTTCTTTACATATATGTATGCTATGTATATCCACTCGATTAGATACTACTGCAAATGCTGCGCACACACATATCGATCGTGTCCCGTACGTTACTATATATATACTATATATATATCTATCGTTTTTTCCTCCACCTCTCGCAGGAGTTGTGATTTAACCGTTAATATACTCGCTACTGTATCTCGTTACTTACGCATATATATATATTTATTTATATATATTTATATATATGTATGGCAGTCATTAAGAAAGTCGTTAAGGATTCCTCTTTTTATATTTTTTAAGTTTTTTTTTTGTTTTGTTTTTTTTTTTTTTTTTTCCTCTTTTTGTTCTTACACTACACGCCTATTATTTCTCTTCTTTCCTATGTTTGCTTCACTCTACAATTTCTATATGCTTAAAATCTAAGTATCATTTAGCCCATTTGTTTTTGTTTTGCGTAATTTGAGTTGATTTAAAAAAAAACGTAATTATGTGAACGTTGAACATTTAACACACGATTGTATTTCCTTCATTTGGAGCGTCTAAAATGCGGGAGCATACACATTTAAATATTTATATTCTATAAAAAAAAATAATCTAATAAATAAATAAAAGAAACGCACCACACATACTTTTTTTTGTAGGAAAAAGAGTTGTGTGTGGATCAATAGAGATAGAGAGAGAATGTGAGTGAGTGAGTGTGAGAGAATTACACACAGAGAGACTGAGTGAGAGAGAGAGAGAGAGCGCTGCTGAGAGAGTGGAGCCTCTTATATTATTTACAATTGCTCTGGCTCTGGGCTCTCTCTCGCCAGCGATCACACGCTGTTAATGCTACCCGTATGACTACTGCTTCTGCTTCTACTCCACTGCTGTTTGCCATTGCTACTTCGCTGCGTTGTCCATCACTCGGCGGTGGAGCCTCTTTACTGTGAATGTGACTGTGGAGGCGGCGGCGGTGGCATCCTTGTTGTTGCCGGCGATGATCCTGCTGATGCTGATGCTGTCGCTCCAGTTATCGGTCATCGGCGTTCATCTTTGTTATCGGTAACATGTTTGTTATCAATCAATCAATCAATATTGTTTTTATTTGAATATTTGTAAGACGCGCGCGTGTTTGCGATTGTATGCGTGTTTGTTAGAAAGAGAGAGGAACATACAGATCATTGTATTTTTTTTTTGTTTTTTAATTTCTCTTTTGTTGCTACTTTTGTCAGAAAGAATTGATTTTTGCATTGCCTTCTACAATTTCATAATTATAATTATAATTACAAAAATGAAACTAAAAACTAAAGACAAATAAAGATTACATGGAGATATACATACATATGTATGTATGTATGTATGCTTAAGAAATACGGTACGGGTACGAGGTACGGGGGGTATAGGTTTTGGATAACTAAACATTAGAAATCGATAAAAAAAAAAAAATAAAACAAAAACCAAAAGGCAAGGCACGGGGGAGGGGGGCATACACACAAATCATAATTGCTGCAACACTCTCTACAGAAGAAAAATCACAAGAAACGAAACGAAAGACCCGCTCTAAATGGGGCAGCTACAAAACAACAGCATGGATGATGATGGAACAATGATGATTGGGGGAAAGGATACTCCTCTCTACTAGTGCTACCACTCACCATGACTATGGGCATCCACCACAGACGTTGACGACGATGCACCGCCCGGACCCGCCAGTGGCATTGGCAGTGACATCGGGTTGCTGCGCCGCCGCTACTGCCAATCCAGAGCCAGTGCTGCCGCCGCTGCCATTGCCACCGCCGGTTGTTGTCGTTGATGAGGTGGTGGAGGATGAACTGGCCGCTGCTGCTGCTGCCGCTGCGGCCGCTGAACTGGCAGAGACGGCACTGCTGGTGCTTGCACCAGGTCCACCGCCACCACCACTGCAGCCACCGCCACCACCGCCGCTGGCACCACTGCCACCGGCACCAGCATTCGCTGTGGCACCCGCGCCGCTTGTGTTGGTCGACTCGTCGGCGGTGCGCTTGAAGAAGTTATGTTGCAAGGCATAGTACGGTGTGACGCGCGTCTTTGGGTCAAAGTCCAGCATGCGCAATATCAGATCCTTGAACTTGAGATAATCTGACACCGAATGTCCTGGCTCGTCCAATCGCCTTCCACCCGGTCCGCCCGTCTCCACACCGAGTATGTCATGGAGCTTTCGTGATCCTGGCGGCTTATATTTGCGCCCATTCTGGTTCTTTTTCAGGACATAGGAGCCATCGGTGACGATCTTGTCAAAGAACTTGCGCGTCTTGTGCGCCTGATCGAGCAGATATTTGGGCGGCATACCCAGAACCTCGACAATCTTGTTCATCTGATCGACCTCATTGCAGCCAGAGAAGAGCGGCTCTCCCGTATGCATCTCAACCAAAATGCAACCCAGCGACCACATATCGATGGCCAGATCGTACTGTATGCCCAGTAGCACCTCTGGCGATCGATAGAAACGCGACTGGATATAGTGATAGATCTGTAAAAAAAAAAAAAAACAATATAAGATTAGAACAGATCTCTGTGTATTGTTTGGCGGGCTCCACTTACGCGCTGTCCCAACTGGCAGGAGCTGCCAAAGTCAACAATTTTGATGGCCGAGCGCTTCGGGTTGCATAGCAAGATATTCTCGGGCTTCAAATCACAGTGTATTATGTTCAGTTCGGGCGTGCTAAGGAACAGCAGCGCCGTGCACAGTTGCTGCGCAAATTTGCGCGTGAGGTTCAGCGAGACGCCGCGGAAATTTGTGTTCCTAAGCAGATCGTACAGGTTGTATGAGAGCAGCTCGAAGACCAGGCACAGATGGTTGCGCCACATAAAGTGACGCTTGAGCTTGACTAAAGAATTGGGCGATGGATAGATCGATTAATATTTATAGATAATAATGGGAAATATTCAAACAGATATAGATATTCATACCGATATAATATTTATTTTCAGCATCCGCACGATTCATCATTTCGAGAAGCTTGACCTCGATTTGTGCCTGATTTAGGAACGGTTTCTTATTCTTAATTATTTTGATCGCCACATGGCATTGCTCCTCGTGATCGTAGGCCTTTACCACTTGGCCGAAACTGCCTTTGCCTGAGGTGTAAAGGATATAGAAGAAGATTTAGTAGATATAGCTGATACATATGTATACACAAGTGTCTACGCACCAATTAGCGAATCAATCTCATAGCGATCCAAGAACTTTTCACCGTTCTTGATTATATAATCATGATTATCGTCGTCATAGCCATCGTTATATAATTTGCGCTCCTTTTTGTTGGACGAATCGTCGTCGCCTTGTGTCTGCTGGGCACGTCGCTTCTTTTTCGCATAGTATACCTATGAAAAGCAATACAAGAAAAATTGGTTTAATAATCGTCATCGGAATCATAAACAAATGATAAATAAGTGATAAATATATTGGTTATAATGGTTATCAGCTCTGTGTGCGACCTTTGCCAATCAATAATTATGGGTGCAAATCGATAATTATCGATGTCATACAAAAGCATGTTATAGTAAATACTTATAAGCCGATTTCCCCTATTTAGATCTTGTATACCGATGGATGGAAACATTTCCAAAAGTGGTTTCCCTGTTTTCCCATGAACGAAAAAGGTTTCTCAATCGGAAATTTATCTAAATGATTAAATTGTTTTCCAACGAGCATCCCAGATAAATAAATCAAGTAAAATTGAGGCATTGTTTGGTTGAAAATCAAGAAATTTGTCTTTAGAATTGATTAATTTATTGATTTATGATTTATTGATTCTTTTCTATTTTATTTCTTTTCTTAATTCGCTTTTCGATCAATGATCGATATTCGACATTAAAATTCCCGATATATCTGAATTTATCGCAAAGGAAATACAAAAAGTCCCATTTGCACGGTTTTGCTCTCTCCCCCATGCAAACACGCGATTCTACTGGACGAAAAGTGTGGCAAAAACGCCCCTGTTAACACTTCGATAACTGCTCCACTGAGAGCGAGTGCTCTGCTCCACGTAGATGGCGGGAGGGGGCAAAGGCAGGGCACGGCATCCCATTCAGGCCAGTTATCCCGTTACTTCCACTTCATCAGAGACAAATGTAAACATTGCCCCCCACCCCTCGAACCGGCGACAGCGGCGACTACGCGACGGCTCCTGTGCCTCCTGCCTCAACCCTAGCCGCTTTCCTATCTATTAGGCAGCGGCAAGAGCAGCAGAACACAGAGCACACAAAAAAAAAGGAGGTTGCGCTTGGAAAAAAGTTGTTGCTAACGCGGCAAGCATGCGGCAGTGCGAGCGAGATGTCCTGCTTTTTGGTGGAGGGCCCTTTGCAGGACCTTTGCAGACCCCCGATGCGCAGAGAGGAGTAGCAGGAGCAGCAGAGCGGACAACGTTGGTGAAGAGAGCGAGAGCGCGTGTGCTGTGCTGCGCTGTGGGTGGGCTGGGAGAGTTTTTCAACAACGCCTAAAAGCTGGCTGCACGGACGAATATAGGGCTGCGTCTACTCGTTGTAGAAGTTGAGCGAGAGAATGGATAGCGAGAGAGAGAGAGAGAGCGCGCCCCAATGCTCTCCAAAAATGGGTGTATGCTTTTGCTTTTGCTGTGGCAATGACTGTTTTTTTATTTTTTGCAGGGCAACAAAAGCCGTCGCCGGCGTCACAGTTAATCTGCAAATGGCTCTGTGTCTCTCCCTCTCTCCTCTCTGTGTTTCCTGTTATCTCCTTAGTAGAATGACGATGCATGACGCGGCACTGCACTCGCGATGATAACGCTGGCCACACTAATCCTGTAACGATGTAACGGGGCATAGGCACACACACCTCAGACATCTGGCTGTCTCATTCACTCTTGTAGCTTGAGCATATTTTGTGCTTGGGCGCGATTTTTCATCGATTCTGTTCGATTATTCAGCGCTTCCATGACCCTCGAATATCTGTGCATGATTTTTCAACGACTCTGCTCGCATATTCAGCGATCTGGGGCCCCCAAAAGCAGTTGAGTATGGTCAGTTCTCGAACACTGATCGATTAATCAGAAAAGCTATGTGGATTTGTCATGGATTCTGTTCGATCTGTTTCTCGATCTATGGCTAATATCTATGAGAAGGTGAGTAATCGATTGTCACCAATTCGGTTCCGATTCATGATGCCCACAATAGTTGTATGATTTGCGATAGACTCAATCATTAATAGATCTATGGATAAGCAATCGATTGTCATCAATTCTGTTTGATCATCAATCAGATATATATTCGAATTTCTTTGCCTGAAAAAAAAAATGCTCCTATAGACGAACGCCAAGGAAGAGACTTTTACATCCATATGAAAGGTTGCACAAGCATCAAAGCCAGATACAAGACAGGTACAAATAAGGAACCAAGGACTAGCGCAGGCAGATAGGTCATGGGTTCGAGAATGAAATTATGTATCACCCACCACGCACCCCACCCACGCACCAAATGATGCGCTCGCCCCAAACCATCGCTCAAGGCTGGGAATTGGGTCTCGTCGTCGCTATAATACAACGGTGTATATGACACATGAGACATGACAATTCCTTGGCCGGCGTGCGATGACAGTTTCCATGTGGAGCCATGTGTCGTCGTCAGGCGCTTTGTTTAGAACTTTTGGCAGAAGGCAGCAGGCATTTGGTACGAGTAGAAGGTATCAGGCGACAGACACAGTAGCGTTGCGTGTCTCTTTGTGTCTTTGTGGCTGTTGTCAACGTCTTCTCGTCCCACGTCAATCGAAACGCTAACAAAAATACGACCCGTAACGGGGTCAAGGACAAACGTACGAGCACGAGTACGAGTATCTTTAGAGCGCCCCACAGCACATACAATATATCTGTCAGCAGATCTGATTCTGATCGAACTACTACGAATATCATAAAAACCAAAAGGCAAAGAGGATAGATGGATAGATGTATGGATGGATGCCAAGGTTCCGTTTCGTCTGGCATCAGATCGTAGGTCGTTTCGCATCGCATCGCATAGCAAAATACACATTTCACATATCGCATCAGTACTCACCTCATTGATGTGCTTATAGGTCTTTATCAGATCGACGCTCAGCTTTCGTAATGGTCCTGAAGCGGGATCACGAAAGTGTGCGGGAATGCGGGCCTGCATGGCACGCACCTCCGACGAAGACGAAGGACTAGGGTGCTGTTCGGAGAAAGAAAAAGCAATAATAAATTAAAAATGATAAATGATATCTCTGTTAAATCTACAGTCTTCGAGTTTCTTTTTTTATATTATTCTATATATTAAAAATTTTAGGAATTTTATTAAGTCTAGATAAATGAAGAATCGGAGTTGCCCATGCTTTTGTATAAATAATTTGTATATTTTTGTACTTACATGATGCATCACATCACGATGCGTGGCAGGCAGATCCTCTTCAACCACAAAGCGACCATAGAGCGGTGCATGACGCTGTCTACCACCGCCGCCGCCACCACCGCTACCGCCGCCCTGCGATGTGTCCACGGCAACGGTGCCCGCACTGGACCCATAAGCAGATACTAGACGATCGCCAGAGAGAAAGAGAAATTATCAATGAGTGTCACTGTTTCAGTCAGCATATTAGTGCAATATAATGGAAATATTCTCTTAAGATATTATTGAAAATTTAGAAGTGCTTATTTAAAATAATAGGACACGATATTTTTTTATATTAAGAAAGAAAAAAAAGTGTCCTTCCCCTTATGGCCAAACTTGAAAGAGTATAAACGTCATTAAGAAATCATCTAGGCATTTGGTGGAGTTTTCTTCACCACAGTTTTGAGGATATTCTGCACTTATTTTGAGGGATAGAATAGCCAACAATTTTAAGGATTGGTAATAAATTTACCCATTATTCAGCTGATATTAAATATTTTTAATGCACAAAAAATTGGGACTAAAGTTAAAGGGAGACAATTTTTTGCGGGTGCTAATGTTAAAGGACTTTTTTTTGACAAAAATGTAGCTTATTTTTTTTTAAGTTTTAGATAGTTCCTGAAAAGTTCTAGGCCCTATATATATTATATCATATTAACTATGATATTATCTCAATCAGTATTAAAACCTCAGTTGTATTTCTGTGTGTGTTTTCTGTATGGTTTTTATTGGTTCAATGACCGATGGGAAGCGCTCTTTGGCCCCAGAACGAACAAAATGCACCTGTTCTCTCGAGAAACACACACCTGACGTACAGGGGAAGACGCTGCCAGCGGCAGCACACGAATGCTGCCAAAATGATGATAATGATGATCAGAGGAGAGAGAGAGAGGAAAACAACGTATGAAGAACGGAGAAGCAGAAGCAGAAGCAGCAGCAGCAAAAAAGAAAGGCAGCAGAAGAGTCGGTACAGAAATACCTTTTACCTTCTTTAATTTTAGAACCAGACGGAACTTAAAATTATTACACAATATGCAAGCCGATGCGGGAAGACAAGCAGCAGATCATCTCGCAGTGGCAGTGGCATTCGCACACTCACAAACATACACACATATGTATGTATGTATGTAATTCTACTGCTTTCATGTGTTGCCATGTTCCTCCCATCCTTCTCTCTGCCTCTCTCTCTCTCTCTCGTATTCTCTGTGTGTTTGCTTTGTGGATCAAAAATAGCCTCTAACGAAGAAAACAAACAACGCAAAAGGGGAGGGAAGAACAGTAGCATTTACTGTGTTGTTTTTTGTTTTGTTGCGTTTGGATGATTGATATTGCATTTCATCATACATGAATGAAGAAGCAAAAGACGGCCGATGATTAATCGATTAATCCATCAATAAACGAAAGATGGAAACTCTAGACTTGGAACGGAAGAAGAACTAGAGAGATGGAACGCAAAAAACACACAATATAGGGAATGTTTGTTGGAGTTGGAACGCAGCAAATACTGGATGTAAAATTATGATCAGTGGAAAGGATGATATAGGCCACAACATAGGAGGGGTTCTATCATAAAAGAATGAATAAAGACGAGGATTAATCGATGATTAATCGACTGTTTCATCAATCAAAGCACGGAAGAAGCATTAAATATGGAACAGGAAACACTTGAGATATCTCAATCTGATGCCAACAAAACGGAGAGAGAGAACTATGAAGATGAATCCTTCGATCAACGGAAAAGGGAAACCCTAGAGAAGAGCACGACTGAAACCACTAAGAAATGGAATGAGAAGAATAACTAGAGATGGAACAGCAGAGAGCCGCGTGATTGCAACGTCAAATGAATCTGGGATATGAAAATCGGGACACACAATACTAGGAAAGAAGGATATGAAACTGTGCAACACTTTTGAGACGGGGATGCTGAATTTCATAAGCTTACAACTGTAGGATGTCGCAGGTATTGCGTGATGATGATTCTGCTTCTGTCCACCGCCGCTGCCGATCAAGATATTGCCATCCCGCTGATCTGCTGTCGGGAAAGAAGAGTTCCCTCGCTGGACTCTGTGGAATCGGGAGTTGATGCTGACTTGGACCAAGATCTAAATGATCATGACCATTATTAGCTCCATCGTAGCTCCTCACACGATGCTGACAGCCAATTTGTGCCAAATAATTGATGTAATGGGGCGGCGGCGGTAGTGGCGGCAGCGGCGCCTCCTTAAGCATTGATGATGGGGGGTTTAGGTCGCGTGCAGCAAAGGGTTGCATGTACGAGGATGCATGTGATGATGATGACGACGACCAGGCGCCGCCACCGCTGCCGCTACCGCTACCGGATGCTGTGCCAGTGTCAGTGGCCTTCTCGTGTCCATTTACAACGCTGCCGCCGTTCATTGACTGCCAATAAAGCAAAGCCGTTGACATCTTTGTTTGATCTTCACACTCTCACAAAATATTTATCTGTATTTTTATTGGGGATTTCCGCTTTATCTGTTTGCTTTCTTCTGGGAAGCGAGGTTGGGAGAAGAGGTTATGATCGGAACACTCCTTGATTTTGGGCTGCAATTCTCTCCACACAGCTGTTTCACATTACTTCCTTCCACTTTACTTTCAGAAAGAGATTAGACATCAAAAGAACATAACTCTCTGTACACTTATCCATCCATGGGATGGTTAATTGTGGCAACAGCTCTTGTAGAAGTTACTTTTTAGTGTTGTTTTTGCACTTGACTTTTCGCAAGTCGGAAGTCGCGCCGCATCGCGCGATCTGCGTCCCGTGAAAATTCAACAAAAACTGCGGTAATTTTCTTGGCCCCAAAGTCTTGCCCATTCGTTGTCGCAGTCGCAGTCGTTGTGCGATTTATTTATACGGAACAGCATTTTCGTTGTCGTCGTTGTTTTCGCTGTCGCTTTAGTCAGTGAGTGCATTTCTGGTGCTCTCATGACGTGATCATCATCATCATCATCAAAAAGTAGGGGATGCGAGCGATCGTATCGCAGGGGCAGAGTTTGCAGTCGATGCTCAGCAGGGTGGACCACTAGAGATCAGCGCGCTGTCAACGATCACACGAAACAGTGTTGATGAGCTACAATTTGGTTAGCTCTGAATGCAGTCTAGTGTTGGTTAAGTCACTGAAGAAGCAGTACGAAAAATAAAATATACATATATCCTTTTCATTGCAACACGCTTGGAAACTGTATTGGGCAGCTCTGGAGGCGCTTGAAGTGTTGTTTACGTTACTGAAGGGAACTGTAGGGAATGCAATCAATTCGCTGTGTGAGTCACCATAATGACACTGCACTTTTATTGGTATTCACTTTTCTTAGCATCCCAACAGCTTAGATCAGTGTTCTGCCTGTTTGCCAGTGTTGTATGAGTGCCAAAAAGAGCAGTAAAACATGGTAGCATGTCAAATCCGCTGGAAAGATGCGTTTTTAGATTGATTTAACTTTTTTCTGCTTTCGCTTCTAGTGTTGGACAAATTTTCAATAAAGAAGTTTTATCATTGTAATCAATATATGTATCTTTCCCTCTTTCTCTCTGTTGCGTATTTTCTTTTTTGTCACATCTGTTTTTTTTTTGCTCGCCAGACAGACACCCCAGTTGGCTGGGAGAGTTCCGCTTTCAGAGATAATGGAATTTCAATAATGTCAGATACATAGAGACGGAAGTGATTCTACAGAATGTGCAGCGCGAAAGGTGCGGGTGCGGGTGCGGTTGCATCCCCTGCACTTTTCTCGGAAGCAGAAAAATTCTTCTTTTTTTTTTTTGTTTACAAAAAGTAAATTCAAAGTGAAAGTGTACTTATCCATTTAGTTACGAAACGCACTGTACCAACGAGTAGTGTGTGTGTGTGCGTGTGTGTCTGGGTCTGGCATGCCTGTCAAAGGATAATTTTGGACTCGCGCACTCGCGCGCTGAAACCCCAATTATAAAATGGTTATAAATAAATTGAACGTTTGCCAATCGATGGAAAGAGTTGAATGATAAATGACTTGGACACCACAAAAATAGAGAGAGAGAGAGCGAAAGATACACACTCGAATACACCGACAGATAGTGAAGGAGAGTAGGAGAGAGAAGCTTCTATTTATAGAAATCTCTGTTTATAATATGTGTTCCCCGCAATTGCCATTACGACAAACGTCTGTGTCTGTCGTCTGACAAGCTGTCGCTCTGTCTCACTGTCGTTGTGTCAGTTCCAACCCAAAAATAGTTGACGACATTTTGCATTTGCAGGTTTTTGCATCACAGGAATGGGAACGCAGAGAGAGCGCAATCGCAGGCTGTTCGTAAAAAATACATGATTGAAGGAATGGACGATGAATGACGCAGATGGATTGTTGGTTGTATGATGCAGCAGTGTGTTGTTCTCCTCTTTCTTACTTCTATTACTGCTCGCAGCACATTGCAATCAATCGCAGATATGCAGAGGAGTACATCCGCCTGGTGACCGCAGCAGCAAGTGGAGCGCAGACCCTGAAGGTGAGTGAGTCATGTGGAATGGGCGGAACATATGGCGCCACAGCTAATCATTGCCACCATAACCACCCACCCCCAACCATTAGCTCCCCTCCTTTTTGTAGTTTGTAGTATGCACCCAAAAAGTAAATAAGTGGAAGACCCCGTCATGCAATGCCACCGGAGTGGCAGAGCAGCGGAAACGTCGCACAAGGTGAGTGATAAGCAAACAGTGGACACAAAATACTAACTGTTAACGACTCTGCTCTCCCTCCCTGTCCAAACAGGGGCATATTGTTGGACCTCCCAATGCGTGACACTTCATGACAATAAGTAGAAAATCTCTTTAAATAATTTTCGGATTTTTGACCATTACTGATTTACAAGATTTATCCTAGCGATCTAGTCTAAAATAATGCCCATCGGAGAACTCTCATAGCCGGAACATAGGAAAATGAGTGCTAATAAATTAGTAAGTTTGAGGATAAATTCCTTTATTTCAGGCTGCACAAGGAATCGAGTGTATTTGCCTTGAATGCCTGCTGGTGTTTCTCCCTGATTTCTGTACAGAGTGACGTTAGTTGCAGCTCAAACACTACATCAAATGTGACCCCCCAGATTTCATAGTAAACTTTCGAGGGTATTATTATTATTATTACAAAACTTTGCTGTATTGTAAAGACTAGTCGGCCTCTGTTTATGTTGAACAGAGTTTTTTCGATAACCAAATCGGACTGCGACAGCTGTTTGCACGCATTCACTATTTGTTGTTGAACAGACCAATTTTTCGAGATCCAACTTTGAGGCTGGCTTAAAAAAAATGTATAAAAAGGGCACAAGTTCAATTGCCCTGTTAATGGTGTCAAATTCATTTCAACGCACCAATAAGTTAGGCGGCAGCGCCTAGCTTTCTGTTTTTAAAAAGTAAATCGGATTTTTGTATGAAAGTGAAAACCGGAGCCTATGCTGTATTATATTTTTATAATTTTTAATTTCTTGAGGGAGACGGTACTTACATTTCTGTTTATTCTTATCCATAACGCCGCCGCTATTCGTATCCTCTAATCTATACATGTGGGGGCTGATGTTTTTTGTTGGTTTACGCGGTTGAATGATTAATGAATTAGTTCTTAGATTTATCTAAATATATATATATATATATCGTGTGTGTATATATATATATATTTTTTTTATTTTACTCTTTATATATATATAACATATGTATATGTTTGAATATATACTATATATTTATATATATCTATGTATATATATTGCGTTACTTCTTCATATGATTTTGGATAAATTGAATCAAATTATGTCAGATTTTGGTTGATTTAGTTTTTTGTTTGTGAATTTCTATAAATTAACTTTGTATTTAATTTTTGCTTTTCCTTCTGCTTTTTGCTTGGCGTGTTGTTTTCGCTGCTTTCCTTATGGTTCTACTTCTTCGGTTGCTTTCGGTTCTTCGTCCTTTTTATAGTTGTTTACTTTCTTTAGTTGTCGTTCTGTCTTCTATCGGTTACTTCTCTTCTTCTGTATAGCTTCCGCTTTCGTCGTGTCGTTGTTCTTGAATTTTGGATTGCATTTGCGATTTGCTTTTATTGCTTTTTGTTTTTTGTTCGTGTATACAAGATATTACATATGTATTTGTATATGTATATGTGTGGGTATATGTATATGTTATTTATGCATATATTATGTAGATATATTATGTATGTATGTATGTGTATTTGTGTGTGTTTGTATTTTGTTGTTGTTGTTGTCGAATACTTTTATGTTTTGTTTTTGCGTTGCGATTGTTTCTTACTCTGGTTTTTTTTGTTATTTTTATTTAAAATTATGAACACATTCGTTTCAAGTCTTTTTGTTCTTTGTTGGGATTTGCTTTAAATATTGTATTTTTGTTTTTGTTGTTGTTATATCACTGTTTTATTCCTCCTTGTTCTCCATTCCATTCCTTCGTTTGCATATGTTTCGTTTTTTTTTTTCGTGTGTCCGAGTGAGACGACACTATGTTTACAGCTGTTGTTGTTGTTTCTCGCAGCAGCACATTAAGCGGTGCTTTTGGCGGTGCTTTTCATTTATTTACCGTTAGCACAGCAATTACACGCAATGCATAGCATGCACACACCCACACATGCAAATCCAGCATACGGCGGCACACGCACATGCACACACACCTCTACGAGCCAGGCCCACGAGCGTGTGTGTGTGCTCTAATGAAAACAAAAACACACACACACACGAGAAACGCACTCTCGCACGCACACACACACCTACACGTACGACACGCACACACGCAATTGCAGGCGCCTCAGCAAAAAGCCCAAGGGATCTCTCGGATCTTGCGTCCCGTTACACGCGACACGTTTGAAGCTTAATTTCTTTTATTCCACTTTTGGCTGAGTGTTCTTAACTCTTTTTCTTTTGCTTCTGTTTTGCTTTTGCGTTGCGTTTTTCCTTTTGTTTTGTTTTGTTTTCTTTTGTTTTGTATTCTTAGGTTATGGTAGTTTTTGTTAGATTATTGCAATTTGTATTGTTTTTTATCTTAAAGGAATATTCTTTAAGATTTGTCGTCGCGCCGGCTTTGCTGCGGTTGCACATTTTGCAGGGTATTATCCAATGCAAACATTTCACAATTATTATTGGTATTCCATTTGCAAGAATCACGATACACCCAACAGACACAATAGAAAAAATATGTCAAAGTCTAAAAACAATAATTAATTAACACTAATGACACGATTTTTCGGGCGGGGAATTTAAATGTTGTTAAAATTTTGTTGCCTTTTTCGTGGGATTTTAATTTCATTTCTGGTTTTCCCATTGTAATCCTCGGTTTTCTGGTTCCACTGTGCAGCAGCTGTTAATAATAATCCTTCTTTCTATTCCACTGTAATCCCGTTGCTTTCACGTTCCACAGTGCTGGTGGCTGCTGTCTGTTGTTTTTTTTACCCCCTCCGCATAATAATCATTTGAAAATCAGACAGCTGTTGGTGGTCCACAGAGAGAGAGTGAGAGAGCTCTTAAAGGCTGCAAAAGACACAGAGAGAGAGAAGAGGTATACAAGAATTAGTTTAGCTAAGATACAAAGATTTCAAGTATATGTACTAGAATATATTATATGTTTAAACGCAGCATTCGCCGCGTCGCAAAATGCAAAATAATAATAATACGAAACAGGGAAAAAACCACACACAACACGACAACGCTTGGCCGCTGCTGCTGTTCTGCTGTTAAGAAACACAACTGTTAAAAAGTTAACTGCGTTTACGGTTCTCTCTCTTACTGCTGTGGCTCTGCTCTGCTCGAGAGAGAGAGAGAACTCGGCTGCTGCTGGTTCTCTTCTGTTCTCTCATTCACTCTGCTGCCTGTTGGCAGCAGGTGAACGAACGACACGCGACGCAAAAAGCAGAGAGAGAACAACGCCAGCGAGAGAGAGGGAGAGAGCGTAAACGAGAGAACGCCGAACGCAGGTTCTAAGACAAGTTCAACGTGTGAGCTGTGGCTGTGCCTATGGCTGGGAGCTGGGGCGCCGCCTAGCCTCTGACATTGCACACACTCCCTCTCCCACCTCCCACTTACAGACAGCTGTTTCAAGTTCGATTTCGATGTCGCAGCCTTCCCTTCGATTGCTCTTGTTGTCAAGTCGAACATTTAGGTTTTTTTTCTTTTTTTTTTGCGTGTGTTTGTTTGCAATTTTAATTACAAATTTTCGTTGATTAACAAAAATACCACATACGTGAGCAAATATTTTAATGGGAGACAACAAAAAGGCAGCAAATGCTTTGACTTTGCTTTTGCGGTGAAAGTGGCATTAGAGGTGGTTGTTGCTTTTGCCTTTTTCTTTTGGCTGTAACTTCGTTCTGGCGGGTGGCGGCGGCACATGTCGGCATTTGGAGGAGAGTTGAGAGAGTTGTTGTTGCCAGGGGCCAGAGAGGCAGAGTGTTGCCACCTCGTCTGCTGCTACATAGCCTTTTTTTTTTTTTTTTTGGTACAGTAAGCACTCGGGGGATGGCAAATGGCAACCCTTACACGTTCGTTCCACTTCAAATTTCTGCTAGAGGTTGAACTTTCATACCTTTTTCCCTCCCTTACAGGTGTTCCCTTTTTGAAACTGAAAACCCACTCTAATGGAAACCATTGAGTTTTCAGACTATGACTATAACATAGTGCTATGACAGTGCTTTTTTAACGCATAATATTTTAAACAGAAACCATTCAACATTCTAGGGATAATGCCTAACATTTTTAATATTTATAAAATTAGTTATTATTTACTTAAAAGCAGATAGTTATAATTATGTTCAAACATTTTCGAACATCAAACATCAACTGTCGGATAGCCCTTTTTATTTGTTATTATTCGCACCTCATAAAATGATTTAAAAAATGATTCCATGATTTGAAGGGATTTTAAGAAATTTGAACAGAATAAATATAATCATATGAAAATAGTATTTTATTTGATATTTAACATCCTGAAATTCTTCCACGCTCCCCCACTGTACATCAGTTATGGTGGTGGTGTTGGCTGTTGGGGCATGTTTGTATGGATGGACGGATTTCTGCGGAAATTATTCACACAAAAAAAAAACATAACAGAGACAAAACCAGTTTGAAACCATCCAAAAAAATGCACTGTGACTGAGTGTCCCTGCCCTGATGGAATGATCATTGTCTCTGCTGTGTCACTCTGTCTGTGAATCATTCTCTTGGCCACAAAATGCGTCACTTTCCGGGTTTGCCAGAAGATTCCCTGATTCCCTGGGGATCTGTGGGAGGAGGTCCCATCATCATGTGGCTGACTGTTGGAGTGGCTCCTCCACTAATCACTAATGCGACAATAGCAACCAGCCCCGCCACCGAACACTTGCCGTTACCATTAGACAATGACAGTTACTGTATTTATGTGGCCTTATCAATTTTCACTAGTGACCGCTGTGACGTCACAAATTGCCAGGTTGCCTTCGAAGTTGCCTCTTCAATATTCCCGGCCCTGCCCTGCCTGTCTGCCTGTTTGTTATTTTTAGCCAGCCAGCAACAACTTAAATGCCCTGCTTCATCATTTATTTTTGGGCCAGCACGAAATCGACAACAGCAAGAGCAGTAAAAAAGAATAGAAAGCAGAGCCCTCCCACACACGAAGAAACACCCCACGCACTAGCATTCGCAGTCTGGCAACCCTTGCAATGGGAGTGTGAGGCGTATCTGTGTCCCGGTCTCCCTAGCTCAACCCAAGAAGATTTGTGATACCTTTGTAGAGTAATAGAAGGATCCTCAAATAATTCAGTTTTCGTTTTTGATCATCTTGTCACTTGAAGAACAGGAGAAAGTGTCGCTTCCCTTCCCTTATTAGACATTTCGTTGGCATTTGCAGAGACAAATCTTTATCTTTATATATTCTGTAGCTAACATTTCTATTAAAATATATAAAATTATCTGCTACAAGCAACGATATTGCTTATAGAGAAAATAAACCTCACGTTTGTGGTCTTTAAATGTAAACAAAATTCATTGGAATCGGAAAGGGGAAGACAAACTCGCAAGCCGCCACAGATATCAGCATTCTTTTGTTCTTTTTCTGTGTAAATGATAGCCAAATTCAAAGAGCTACAAGATAATAAACCTTATCATCCCATAAAATAGTCTTGGATCTACAAGTGTGGAAAATATTATTATTATTATTATTGCAATCGGATAGCCCCAAATGATGGCGAGAATTCCTGGGATGCCGCCTTCTGGTGCTAACATACAGATTTAGTGGAAATGGCAACTGGGATTCCAAATACTTTTTTGTTTACAGTTAAGTACATACATATGTACATATTTATGCACTACATGCAGCGGATATGCCATATCGTATATCTGAGAATTACCGAACATGTGTGTAGGGGGTAGGGGGTGCTGCAGGCGCGTGATTTTCTTTTTGATTCATTGATAATAAATATAGTTTGTATATTTATTTATTTATAGTGGAAAACGGAGTGTTAATATCCTTCCCCTTCATTCGCGGAAAGATGATTCGCCATGAAAATGTCCCATAAGCAAATGGAAACAAACACAGGACCGAATCGGGATTCTTTAACAATAAAATACCAAAGAGAAGGAAAGAGAAACATCAATGTGTCGTATACTTTGTGAGTTTTCGTTGAATTTTAGATATGATTTATATAAAAATATTCTAGCTAAAAAAACAGCAGTTTTATTTATATGGGGAGAATATTTCTTACTACTGCTTAAAAACGAGACAAATAATTAGATTTGTTATTTTCTAATGGAACAGTGCCTGATACCCCTTAGGGTACACACAACGCACAAACCTCAACCCTACGTTTATGATCATCATTTTCTAGCGGTATTTTTTATGAGCGGCGTTTGACGTCAAAACGTGACTGTGCGCGTGTCTGTCTATCTATCTATCTATCAAAGTATGTGTTTCTGAGAGTAAGACTTCTCTCTCTCTTGTTCTCTCTGGCAGCGGCAGGCACTCACCGCTCTCTTCTTTCGATGCCACCCACACGCCTCATGCGCTGACCCAAATTGATGGCCTGCTGCTGCTGCTGCTGCTCTTCTGGCAAACATTTTGCCATCTGTGTGTTTGTATTTGTGGCTCTAATTGAAAATTGGAAATTTCTTATAATTGGCGGCTGGGTGGAGTACAAAGTACTACCTCGCATTCCCTCTAGAAAGCTTTTCCATTATTTTTCCTCTTTTGGGAGGGTTTTTGGTTTGCAGCGCAACATGTGGGCGGACGGACAGGCAACGCCTCTAATACCGTGTAAGAAAGAACGTTTTCATTTAACAGTGCTCTCTCCTGACTGATGGATTTTCCACCAGGGGATCACAGTGTTGATTCAATGTAGAAATGTCCGAGAATGTAACGGCTACATTCGGCAAAACATCTAGATCATCAGTTCTAGAAAAGTAGAGTTAAGCTTTTTTTACGGATGTAATATATACATAGTTGGAATCATTTTGTGGATCATACAAAGCAATATTTCCATTACATAAATTATATACATAATACCATATGTACATATCTCCCAGGAAAGGGAGAAGAGACTTTTTTCGCATTTGGTTTAGATTTGAAAGTTAAGGCTTGTTAGTGGTTAAATAAGGTTTATCTCTTTTAAGGAATGACCAACGTTTTTTCAGCAACGAAGAGATCGCATCATGTGAGCTTTCTGCCCCGAATGACCTCCTCAGAGGGTGTAGAAAAACGTTATGTATGCGCTGTAATAAAGTGTTCCCATAAGTGATCGGCTAAACACATTCGCAAAAGTGGCGAAAAACAAAAGATATCACATTCGCTTACGAGCGATACCTGATTTTGTTTACATTAAAATAGCAAAAAATTTCGTATTGGACTTATGATTTTTCTATCAGAAAGGGTTCGGGGTTCGAGTGAACCGTTTGCGAGTGATCCACTGTACTTGTATGAATGTGAATATGTGTGTCTGTTTGTGCTCCAGATTTTCTGACGGTTGCGGTGCGGTGCGACTCTGTCTACTAAAAATACTTTGTAGGCGGGTTCAATCTCTCTCTCCTTCCCCATTCCCTTTCTCCTTTCTTCCATATTCTCCCATTCTTCTTCATTAGTATCGCTGATTAGCCACAAAAAAGAATTAAGAAACGAAAAAAAGAAATGCAAAAATAAAAGAATATAATAATAAACGGACAACAAAACGGTTTTTGCGCTTTTGAAAGCACTTTTTTTTTTTTGTATAACGAAAGATTGTGCAAAAAATATATTAAAAAAAAAAACAAAGCGCGAAAACTTTCATGCTTTCTCCCTCTTTCGCTCTTTCTGTTTCTCTCTCTGCCTCCCACCCAATCTTACCTTTGGCTGCTTTTTCGGTTAAGTGCGTAGTAGGTAGAGAGAGGAAGAGAGTGCTTGGAATTTACATGCCGCGAGAGAGAGAGAGAGAGCTTATTATATTTTGTTGTTGTTGTTATTGTTATTGTTGTTTTTACTGTTTTGTGTGTTGTGGTTCAAAGTTCAATGACCGATTCTGTCGAAACAACATTGGAAACCGAAACGAAGCGCAGAGCAGAGCAGCACGGCACTTCTGGTCGCGGCGCAGTCGCAGAGCTTTGTTTCGCAGCAGCGTCGACGCCGACGACGACTGCCGCCGCCACTCTTTCCCGTACACATGGACAAGGTCACACAGACACCGGAATTCATAACTGTGTGTATATAAAGTTGATTTTTGCTCAATACGCAATAAAAGCTCAACAAAATGCCTCCCAGCATGTGCAAATAATAATAGACGTATAAAGACGTGTGAGAGGACCGTGAGAGAACGTTGCATCGAAAGAAGATATCTGTTTGAAAACGGTTTCGAGCTTAGCATTGAAAATTATTTATTATATTTTTTATATTATTGTTCAATTTATAACGTTCTCTTTGATTATTATAAACCGGTAGAAAAGTTATAAGGTAGTGCCGCTGAACCATAATATTCCGCTTGGAAGTTGAGCGTCCAGCTGATTCGTACATCTCATCAAAAAGTATATACAATTTACATTCACAAAAAGATATGTATCTAAGATTAAGATATTCCGACATGCTTCGGATATTGCAAATTGCAAAAAGTTACGAATTGACTGTCAAATCGCAAAAGTGCAAGTTTCCATAAAAGAATTTTCTCTCCCCTTTGACCATTAATATTAGGACGTGGAAGTGCCACAGCTACATTGCACCATCAATTGGGCCAAGGCGACACCCAGCCGAAGCGTGTTACGCGCGGATCCCTTTTACTTGGCCTGCATTCAAATTCTTCATAATTTTCATGGGTAAATGCGCAACGGCAATTAAATCAAAAGCGGAATGCTGGAAATCAACCTCCCAATAGGGTATCAAAAGTGTCGTTACGCCTTCTTGTTACTACAATCTTCCTCTCCATTCCACTACCACTTTCTCCCTCTCTTTTTGTTGTTCTCAATGTTCTTCCTGCACCTGTGTCTGTGTGTGCATGTTCTGTTTTTTATGGTAATTCAAAACTGCGCATTCATTGATGACCGACGGCGCAGAGCTCTGACAATGGCATTGAAAATCATTTTTCAAGCAGAGGAGAGAATGCAGGCAGTGCGCAGCAGCGACGATCGTCTGCTTGCTGCTCTGTTGCCGCCGACTGCAACTGCAGTCCGAAGGAAAGGAAGAGAAACAACCATAAGGTCAGGCGGCGCAAAAAGAGAATATACATTTTAATTGGATATACATAAGTATATTTTTTTTTTGCGACTTTAGTGTTTTTCCAGTTGACACTTTCCCAACATTTCTATCCACTAAAACTTTCCCTTTGGTGAAAAGTATTCCTCTCATAAATTTCCTTGCAAAATCCCTTTGGGTATTAGAAAGAATCTCTGGTAGTATCTCTGTAGAATAAATAAATATTCCAACCAGTAGATCGATCTCCCATCTTCCATTGATGTCCCCCCGCCTTTCATTTCTTGGAATTTCATTGAAAATATTATAAGGGGCAAATATTATAAGTTTTATTGCTATTGCGCGGGAATATTATTTGTCGTTGGTGCGCCGATTGGCGGGTACAACAATAACAAAAATTGACACCAATGACGTTTTTTGCAAAAATATATTTATTTATTGCATGGGAAATTATTCCAATGGTCGTAGCGGAAGGGTAAGATAGAGATAAAGAGAGAGAGAGAGAGAGAGAGAGACGGGTAATAGTATATTGCACAAACAAACTGTTCTTTCTCTCCCGTAACCCCTCTCATCAATCTGCTAACCAGAAAGCGATGGATGTCAAAACGTGTGACGTCGACAGCGGCCGTGGCGCAGCAGCGCATTTGCGACAGCGGGCAGCGCGCAGCGACAGCTCCCGACAGACAGCACGTGTAAAAGCATCTGTTTTGTTGTGATTAAATGACAGTTGATGCCCTCTCTTCTCCACACTCTCTATCATCTTTCTCTCTCACTGGTGGGCTTTGCTCTGCAGCCCCCTCTTTCGCACAACACGTGTGCTGCTGCCTGCTGCTGCTGCTGCTGCTGCTGTTGGGTGCTCTTGACCGAGGCGCCGGCGTCAACGTTAGCGTAAGCGCAAATGCTGCGCAATTGTTGGGGCCTCCTAATGGAAGTATTTCTCGAAACGCATTTAGACAATTAATCAGTTGTTGGAGGAGGGGAAGGGGGGAAGGGTGGGAGAAATAGAGAGAAAGAATAAAGAGCTGTTATTGGAGAGGAGACGGAGACTCTATCATTTGAACCTTTGGTTCTACTGCACAAAATTTCTCATGAGTGCACGGGGACACACATGCGTTTCGAACAGGAAAGCAACAGAATACCAGCCGACCCAATCGATATTAACGATTCAATATACATAGATCCTAAAAGCATATCGATTGTGAATTTCGACTGATTTTTTGAAGGGAACTCTTTGTTTTTTGTTTCTCTTTGTTTTCAATCTGCCAAAAAGCCAGAAAGGGAGTCCCAAAAGCAGGCAATGATTTGTCGATCTCCATCTCCTTCACAAATCCCGTTGTATTATTTGGAAACAGTCCCAAAAACATATATAAAAAATAATGCACCTTTTACAATATATCATACCCCTGCTGCTGCTGCTGCTCCTGGCACAGGTCGCCCAGTGCTACCGGATTAGACCCCGTGAACTACTGGAACGCTACAGCAGCCTCTATGCCGATCTGCCCAACTCCTGTGACAATGAGCAGGACGAACAGCCGCCTGAAAGCGACGACATCGTTTCCTGGGATCCCGAAACTGCCACGACCGAGGAGCCGCCACAGGATAGATCCTCCTGCAACTTGAAGAGCTCCAGCAACTTCTGCAAGCATTCTGAACAGGGACTAGGAATGGGATCAAACGCTGGGGCAGCCATCGCCCAGAAGGCAGCCCAAATGGCAAAGGCCGCCAATGAGGCACAAACTGGTGCTGCAGAGGATGCCGCCAAGCTGGTCAGGATGCAACTGGCGGAGACGGCAATGCAAGCTGCCCGTGCCGTCAATGCGGTGCTGGAGGGCAAGGAGGCGATCGTCGAGAATTATCAGCGGGAGCTGCACGATGCCGAGGATATGGTCATCCAGGTGAGCGCCTCCCTGGAGAGCAGCGAGGCGAATGCCCAGAGCGCCAGTGCGGCTAGCACCTTCGCCGAAACCCTAAAGGGCCGCCTCGAGGGTATCCTCGAACAAACCGTGGCCAGCCTCGTCGACATCGATGCCTTGGACGAGCAGGTGAACGCCGATCTCCAAGAGAAGACCGAAATGCTGGCCAGGACCGAAGAGCTGGCCCAACGTCTCGAGCAGCAGCTCGCTACGGCTCGCCAAGAGTACGACAAGGTGAAGGAGGCCGCCCGCCAGGCAGCCAATGCGGCTGAACAGGCCCGCCAAAAGGTCGAGGCCGAAGCATCCACATGTGGATCCAAGAGTAAACGAGTGGCCATCGAACATTGTCAGGGCATTCTCGCTCTCTATGGCCAGCGACGGCATCAACGTGAAGCCCGGATGTTGCAACAGAAACAACATTTGAAACATTAATTTGCCATTTGATTTGTTGCATTTTAATTAAAGTTTATATCTTAAATGAATGGAAATTTGAAATGATTTGAGGGTAATGATGGAATGATCGGATCTGTGCAAAAAATTTCATTAAATGCGGGATTGATAATCATTTTAGGGAATCACTCAAGATTACTTTCTTTTGATAGAAAGAATTTCTTTATCAATTACCGATCTAAAGTATGAAGATAATATTACCAAAAGATATTTACTACAAAATATGGAGAAGAAACCAGCAATATCTTACAGAAGAAAAGGTTGCTGCATGTGTCAAAAACAGTTTTAAAAGTGATGAGGTGCGGCACTTCTATTTGTATGAAGAATGTGGAAAAATATTGGAAAGTGCCTTCGAAAAGTGTAAGCATTATATCTGTTGGCAAAAAGCAGACTTTCAGGTTCTTCTGAGGCTATCTTCTGTCGAATTGAAAACGTTGAAAGTTTGCTAAGAACATGGAACAAGGATTTGGACTGAATAGAATGTGAATGAGTTTTGTGGTGCAAGGTAGGTGGAATAAAGCGTTTTCGAATTTATCCAAGTGAAGTTAACTATGTGTGCATGTTTAGAATAAACTTTATAAGCCATTATAATATAAGAGAAGTTTATTTGTAGAAAACCCATACGACTATGGATAAAATGAGTAGAACAAAAAGTGAGATGTTAAGGTTTTTGGTTGGAATATCCTAAAAGGTCATTGCATACTTTTATTACTATAAGACTTGCACTCTGGATGGATAATTGTACCGAAAATACAGATTGAGGGATCGGGATCGTATCGGTTTCTTTCATTTGCACAAAAAATTCTGGCCTGATTTCGAGGATACTAGGGATATATTTGTTGGTATTTTGGTATAGCCCTGCGATTTTGATATTCCATTGAAAATTTCCCTGTTTCGCTTCTTCGTTGGGGACAAGAACAGCTGCTGCCCAAAATTTCCCAGCGGCCTGTTGTCCAGCTGTTTGCCATGCGTCAAGAGGCATTTTACATTTATCCCAAAAAGGCGAGGGCGGAGTGGCGGCAGTGTTGAATGGGTGGGAGGATGGGAGGCTGGGAGGTGAAATGGCAGGGTTGCCACCTCAGTGCGCTGTTGCGCCGCATTTCTAGTGTTGTTGTTATTGCCGGCGGCAGAAGCAGCCAACGTTGTTGAAACTTGAAACGCCAACGAGAGAGAGAGAGAGCATAAGGGCGCGCGCATTTTACAGGCTGCAAAAAAAAAGTGCAAAGAGCGGGGAAAACACAAACACACACACACACAAGGTAGCTCTCTCCCATTTTTCCATTAAAACAAAATTCAATTAAATTTTCAATTAGCACCGTTATAATACTGAATTAATATTAAAAGGAAAAATCAATTTCCCACACAAACACAATTTCATTCTGCCGCTGTACCGCTTTTTGCAGCACAGACACACACACACACACACACAAAAGATGCAGAGCGAGATAGAGCCAGAGACGAGCGTGGAGCGAAGGATGCCGCTGCATCTGCGCCGCACAAAAGGTTTGCCGGATTTAAGAGTCAATTTTGTGCATTAACAAAATGAGCAACCCAAATGATTTTGGGTTTTTCTTTTTCGCCCCCCTCGTTTCCTTTCTATCCAATAAGAAGAGTACGTTGGGGGAAGAGTAGAGTAGCCGGGTGGAGGGAGGGGGGAAGCAGACAAAATGCCGGTAAATCCAATATGTATGGGCCTGCTGCGTTTAACAGCACGCTGTTAACCGCTAACAGTGCAGTGTTGTTTTCCTGTCGCCTGGCTTGGCTTCTTTTCCACTCCGCTCTCGCTCTCTCGTTTCTCTTTTGCATTTTCAACATAACCAAACATCACTTACAGTTGCTTTTCGACTGAATGCTGCTGTTGTTGTTGCTGCTTCTGCTGCTGTTCTTATGATGCCGCTGGTTTTGTTATTAATTTTACACTTTGACTCTGGTTTTCTATGTTATTATTGCTTTATTCCACAAACAGCAAATGGCGGTTGTTGTTTTTGTCGATTGTTGCAGCTGCTGCTTTGGTTGTTGTTGTTTCTGCTGCTGCTGCTGCATAAAAACATGTTTCACTTGAAAGCAGAAGAGACGTTGATGACGACGCTGCGCTGCTGCTGCTGCTCCTGCACACACGCATGCGAACGCACACTTACACACGCACACAAACAAACGCTCACGTATAGAGAGCGAACGAGACCTGACAAACAAAAAATTTGCCTGACTTTTTTTTTCTTTTTTGTTACTTGTTGTTGTTGCTGCTGTATTTTCCCTTCAGCAATGCTTGCACTCGAATGCTAAAATAATTGATTAAACACACACACGCATGAGAATTTCATCGTTTTCAATTGAAAGCCGAAAAAAGCAAAAAAACAAAAAAAATATACGTTTCGTCTTGGCTTTCCGTTTGTCCCGTCCGTCTGCGGGCCAACAAAAGAGCGCGTCGCAACAGCGAGGAGGAGCGGGAAGCAGCGCGGCAGCAGCACGGTCGGCACACGGCCGCAGCAGAAGTGTACAAAAAAAGGCACACCAAATGAGGAGAGAGACAGAAAGAGAGAGCGAGCGATGGCGAGAGGGAGAGGGAGAAAAAGAAAAAAAAAACAGACAACGAAATTGGAATGCTATGCGTTAATTTTTTCCGTTTGATAATTAGCGGCGGCTTTCCCCGCGATTCGCCTGCATGCACTGCACTGACGATGGTCGTCGGTAGGGGGATTTTGGCCTGATATTTTTTCACTCACTTAATTACCAAATGGAGAATTGGAAACACAATAACAAAAAATAAAGCACACACACAATATATATTATGCTCAGCGTCAGTGTGACAGTGTATCTATCAACAAAATATACCGTGACCGCGGATATGAGGAGCGGCCAGTGGTGTGACCAGAGGTGTGCACTGTATTCCGTACGGTAACTATGCTCACGTCTCTGCTGCGGCCGCTGCCGACGCCGACGTCGACGTTTTAACCGTAGAACATCTGTTGAATTTGAATATTGAATTTAGCACCCGTCTGGCAACCTTGGCAGGCCGGCTGCTGTCAACCCTTTACGGTATATTATATACTTTTTATGCTTTGGCGGTTCTTGTTTGAACCTTATTATATAAACATCCAATCTTGTACAACATTTATTGAGGAATTTGATAAAAATATTTGCTTAGGGCCAAGAAGGCTAACTAGCTAGTAATATTAAATCGAATCTCAAATTCGAGAAATATAAACGCATTTTGTCAGTATATGTACGGTATATTAACGGTATATTTCTGGGGTATTTTTGGGCTCACAATTTAAATACAAAAATGAGTCGTGAGGACTAGCCATGGCAAGGTATTAAAATGGCCAAGCTTTTTAAAGGGATTCGTACATTGCTCACCCTGGCCCGAAGGATTAAATATACCATGAATGTGCAAATTTGATTCTATTATTTTTCTATTATTCTATAAGTATGGAATAAATATACGAAGTCTTAATCAATCTTTTATTTAATATACGAAAACCATACCTGTAAGGTTTATTTGGAAAATTTGTCATTGGTTGAAACCAAAAATCACGTTAGGTCCCCAAATTTCATTGGTTAAAATTTGAAATCAAATCCCCCACGGAGAGTATGTTGTGAGGTGGGTTTTATTCTTGAAAGTTTTGGATTTTGTGACGTCATACCCCACAAGTCACACACATACACACCTTATCCTTGCAGCGCAATCAAAAGTTCAACTTCAAGTTCAAAGCTTGAAACGTGTAATTACCGCCAAATTACAAATAAATAAGAAATGATAATGCAAGTAGACAGTTTTATCAGATGATTAGTTATACGGTGATATTATGTTTCACCATAATTTATGATTAGCACTCCAACAAGATCCTTTCCATGTCCTTGTATGCAGTAAATTTTCTGGGGCCAATTTTCCTATTGTCCATACCACTTTTTTTCCCAGCGTATAAAAGTTTACTTGAAGGAAGCTTCCTTCCTTAATGAAGAAACAAAACGTGGATATAATATGATGCAGTGTTTGTCATCCATGCAATGATCGATTCTATGAGCTATTTTTGTATTATCAGTATCCACTTATAACTCATACATATCTATGCGAAAATTATCATAAAATTTGAAATCCATCTCATCCCACTTTGCAGTTTATGGTATTATTTCAGATACCAAATGGGATCGAGATATACATATATTGAATCTAATCTCGGTCAAAAGCATGCCAATACGAGTAAATTTATTGTTACTTAGGTTTCAAAGCAGCTTAAGCTGCTGTACTCCAATTGGACTGCAGAAGAATTACAATATTGAAAAGAAATTTCCCAATGGGTATACAAAGTCTTTATTACTTAGGTCCCAAAGCAGCAGGAAAGACAAAAATCTTAAATTAATTAAAGGATGTACAGAATATAATTAGAGGGTATACAAAGTGCCATATTTCACAAATATGTCTAGTCACCGTGTAGATACCATGTACAAAAGGGACATTTTTGTCTCTGTCGAATTTTACATAAATATTTAGTTAACTTTTTAGCAAATGTGTAGTTAGCGTGTAGTTACCATGTAATCAGATTGATTTTTTATTAAACCTTATTTATGAATAATTCTAATGAAAATGAGTACTTATGATTGGCAAATCTTTAAGGAAATTGATTAATTAATTGTAGAAAAATATATTTTCAGCGCTGAGCGTCTTATCCTGCTAGTAATATTAAATTGAATATCAAAATTATGGAATACGATTTCAATCAATAAAATAGAACGTTATCCCATTGTCGACCAGGGGGCATTTAATATTCCCACGCAATTTATGTAACTTTAACATATTTAACGCATTACATGTGAAAGATGTCGGTGGTCATTTTTGTTTTGTAAGTGTAAAAAAATTATTAATTATTAATTTTTTTTTGTTATTTACTGGTTACTGGTTCTCGGTTTCTGAGGTTTCTGAGGTCACTCGAAAAAACAAATCAAGTGAAATATTTATTTTTCCAAATATTAAGACACATTTCAAATTGACCGCCAAACTCAATTAGCGCACCAAAAATACTGACATTTTTCGCACTCAATTCGTGGAGAGTTTGCAAAATTTGCTCTCAATTCGTGGAGAGTTTGCAAAACTCGCTTTCAATTCGTGGAGAGTTTGCAAAACTCGCTCTCAATTCGTGGAGAGTGCTCTCTTTTCAGTGGAGAATAGAGTGTTTTTGTGGAGACTTTCCCCTAATTTTCGTGGTGTGGCAGCATGCTGCTGAAATTTTTACCATACAAAATCAAATGTATCTTACGGGAACGCGTATGGAATAAAGATTCATTGTTGCGTCATGCCAATCTTGTAGAAAATGTATGTATCTATCGGATAAAATTATTTGTTTAGGGCTGAGTGTCCCAGCTAGCTATTAATATTAAACGGAATATCAAAATCAACAAAATACCAATCCAAACATATCAAAAGCGCAACGACTGTAGTTCGATACTATCATGATAGTCGCAAAACCGTCGATAGTAGAGACTAGCAGTAAAATATCGATACTATCGATAGTGCCCTCGATGGTTTGACACCTCTATTCTAACACTAGCCGGAAAAGCCATTTGTGGGCTAATCTATATAAAATTCAAATGTGAAACACTTGCCATTCTACGAAGTTTTCACTGGCGCAAACGGCGATCCAAAATTCATATCAAAATCTGCAGTACCCAAGTGAAACGAAACGAAGACAGCGGGCCGCACAGCTACGTTACTGGCCACGGCGAGAAGCCACAACAACAAAACATACTGCACGCCGCACAGCTCTGCTCCGCTCTTCTAATCGCAAAACGTTGTCTGGCTCTCGCGCTGGCAAAAAAAAGAAAAGCAAACGAAAACGAAGACGAAGAACGAACCGACGAAGAGACAACAAAGAGGAAGGCGAAACAGCAGCAGATTCTTCGCCCTAAAATTAAAGGAACGGTGCAGCAAATAATTTTGAGCAGAGGGCAGGGGCAAGCAGAGGTACGTATCGGCGGGCAAGTCACATTTGCCAATTGAAATTAAAGTCAAGCCAGGCCTGACATCAGAAATCATCACATGCTTGCTCTGCGGAGAGCAGAGTGTAGAGCAGAGTTGGCAACAAACAACTGAATTCCCTTTCGCTTTCTTTCGCTTCCACCTTCCGTCCCTTCCACACAGAGAGGCAGCTACAGCTACAGCTAGCGATGGCACACCAGGCAGGCACAGAGGCCTTGGCTGCCGAACTGGCCAAGGCTGTGGAGGTGATAATGCATCCGATGACGCAGCAGAACTCGCGTCTGGAGGCATACATGGCCTGCGAGCGCTTCAAGGAGGAGTCACCGCTCTGTGCACAGGTGGGCCTGTTTCTGGCCGGCTCGCCCCAGTTCAATCAGCAGGTACGTCACTTTGGCCTGCAGCTGATCGAGTACACAATCAAATACAAATGGAATTGCATCACGCACGAGGAGAAGGTCTACATTAAAGACAATGCCATCAAAATGCTGAACATCGGTGTGGGTCCCGCAGAAGATCGCACTCTGATGCCCCTGAAGAATGGGCTGTCCAAGATCATTGTCGAGATGATCAAACGCGAATGGCCGCAGCAATGGTCCGACCTTCTGCCCGAACTTAGTCAGGCCTGCACCAATGGCGAGGCCCAGACGGAGCTTGTGCTGATGGTCTTTCTCCGTCTGGTCGAGGATGTGGCCCTGCTGCAGACCATCGAGTCGAATCAGCGCCGCAAAGACATGTACCAGGCGCTCAACAACAACATGAACGACATCTTTGAGTTCTTTCTGCGGCTGGTCGAGCAGCATGTGACGGCGTTTCGCGAAACCACGCGTCTGGGCAACTTTCTCAAGGCGAATGCCCACAGCCGTGTGGTGGAGATGGTACTCCTCACATTGAGCGGCTTTGTGGAGTGGGTCAGCATCCAGCACGTGATGTCCAACAATGGCAAACTCATGCATTTCCTTTGCATTCTACTCAACGACAAAGCATTCCAGAGCAATGCGGCCGAATGCCTCGCCCAGATCACCAATCGCAAGGGCCAGGCCAAGGAGCGGAAGCCCCTCATGCAGCTGTATAACGAGGAGCCGCTACGCTACATTTTCTCATCCAGCCAAATACCGGCGGACACCAGCTCCTCGCTGGCCATCGAGCAGCAGCACTTGTTCCTCAAAAAGCTGCTGGCGGTGCTCAATGGCATGAATCAGCAGCTGGTGGCGCTGTGGGGCAAGGACGAGTCGACACAGCGGCCAGTGCATTTGGAGATAATGCTCGAGTGCCTGCTGCTGCTGGTGCAGCATCCATCGCTGAGCGTTGCCCATGGCGCCACACAGATCTGGCAGCTGTTGCTCAAGCATGAGCTCTGCTCGAAGGACTTTGCCATGATCAACTACATTCCCAAACTGATCCACACGATTGCGCCGCGGATTGTGAAGCTGCCATATCCACCGGCCAGCGCGCCCACTAGCCTCACCACAGAGTCGTACATCCGGATGGACTACGACAGCGAGGAGGAGTTCACGCTGTACTTCTTTCGCTGCCGCACCGACTTCCTGGAGATCTTTCGCCTGGCCACCCTCGTCCAGCCCCTGATCACGTACGGCTTCTGCGAACAGTGGCTGCAGTCGCGCCTTCGGAATGCCGTCGCCGAGAGCGCTGGGATGTCGTGCAGCGTGCTGGATCCTGTCTACCTGGAATGGGATGCCCTCGTCAGTGTACTGGATGGTGTGCTAAGCCGCATTTTGCTCGTCTCGGAGCGTCCCTCGGTGCCGGCCGGTCTGCGTCTGCTGGAGGATTGCCTGAAGCTGGAGACCACCAATCCGTTAATCTACTCGATTCTGCTCTCCTGCATATCGGCC